GAGATGTGTCTGGGTCTCCAGACCAATCTGCATCTGAATATCCATAGAAATCCATGTCCATGGAGACATCTGTGCCATCATATCGTAGTTTTATGTCCCTGGTTGCTTTCAGATATCGGAGGACACATTTTGCAGCTTCCCAGTGATGGCTCCTTGGAGCTGAGCTATGCCTGCTTAGTATTCCAACAACGTAGGCAATGTCTGGGCGGGTTCCGAGCATGGCATACATGAGGGAGCCTACAATTGAGAGGTATAACACTTGACGCCCTTCAATATGCATCTAGTGTTGCACAATATCTTCCCCTGTGTTAGTTTTGGTGATTCTGCACCTTTGTGCTACCTATATATTTTCATTCCTTTCTCTATCTATTCTTCTATCATTCACTATTGATTGTGTTCTCTATTATTTCGCCTTTATGGCTGCTTTGTTTACCTTTGTTTACAAAACTTCGGACACTACTGCAGAGTCCAATGCTTCCTATTCTCTAGTTACTCACATTGGACTCTAGGTACTGTATACCTGTCATACTCTCTAATAATATAGTTACTCACATTGGACTCTAGTTCCAGTCCCTGATTGCTCTCAGCAAGTGGCTAGACACTTCCTTCAAGCTTTGTTCTTAATACCCTGGAGCATTTGCAAGGAGTTTTGATCCAAAGGCCATTGGTGTCCATACTGGTTTGCATTTCTTCATTCCAATACGCTCCAGGACTGTGTCAATGTATTGGCGTTGCAATAGGGATATTGTTTTGTTTGAATAATCACGTTGGATTTCTATTCTGAGGATGTATTTTGCTTCTCCAAGGTCCCGCATTTTGAATATGGATTCGAGTTTGGCTTTTGTGATATCCATGAATTTTTGGGATGAAGCTCCTAGGAGGAGGTCATCTACATAGACAACAACAAAGCATATTTGTTTGTTGTCCCGGAATACATAGAGACATGTTTCTGTTTAGTCTTGTGAAACCGAGCTCCTGGAGCTTGCGATCAAAAGTTTTGTTCCATGTACGATCAGCTTGTTTTAACCCGTAGATGGATTTTTTCAATCTTCAGCAGTATCCAGGTTGGATAGGAACACCCCCTGGAGGAAGCATGTACAGTTCTTCTTCAAGTTCTCCATTGAGATAAGCTGTGGATACGTCCATTTGATCAAGTTCTAGGTCGTACTTTGCTGCCAGGGCTAGAATAATTTGGATTGACTCTAAGTTTGCAACCGGAGCAAAAACCTCCTGGTAATCAATCCCCTCCCTTTGAGTAAAACCTCGTGCAACAATCCGGAGTTTGTATCTCTCAATGTTTCCGTTTTGATCAAACTTGATCCGGAACACAGGTTTTGATGTGATGGGTTTTACTCCCTTCGGAAGTGGAACAGTGTCATATACTGCATTAGTATTGAGACTTAGGAGCTTCTCCTCCAAGGCAGACTTCCATAATTCTCCATCCGGACATGATAAGGCTTCCTTTAGTGTCCTTGGAAGGTCTGTGTTAGATGGACCGGTACTTGCTATTCCAGCAAAGAATGTCTCCTCTGTATCAGATGTTTCTTCATGAACCTCAGGAGTGTTAGGTTTCTCCATGGAGTTGTCATGCTGCTCTTTTCGAGACTGTTCCTCATCTAGAGTCCTTTGATAATCTCGGTTTTTGTCTGCAGGACGGGTCTGGCAACTGCTTCTGCGTACTCCTAGGACTTCAGCTGGCATGACTGCTCTTTTAGGAACTTGTGCAGGTACTCCAGGGAGTAGATGCATTTGTGTATTTGTTGCCCCACTCACTCCTGAAGGTGTTGAATCACTCCTCAGAGGCGTTGGATGACTCCTTGGAGGTGTTGGATGACTCCTTGGAGGTGTTGTATGCCTTCCAGAAGCTGATCCAATGGACAGGCTGTCTAGCTGTATTCGGACTTTTTCCACATCAGCTGGCTGTATGTTGAGGGGCTGTCCTCCCACTGACTGTAACTCTACTTTGGCTTTCCGTTCTGAAGATGGCCAGTATTCAGGTCCCGGTTGTAAAGACTGTTGTGGAGGGTGCCTTAGCTGATCAGGTGCTCCCACTGCTCTTGGAACGTCTCCATGGAGGTATTGCCCCACTGCTCTCAGAACATCTTCATGCTGATATGGTCCTATTGCTTGTGGAACATCTCCTTGGAGATGTGGTTCCATTTGCAATTCATTTGGATCTCGGATCCGAGGGTCAGGATCATCCTCCTCCAATTTTTTTTGGTCTGGATAGTGAGCATTCTCTGGAATGAGTCCCTCCCACTGATCTGTGCTAGTGTCTGTGTTCCAGGGAGCAGTGTCATCCTTTTGTACCTTTCTGGATTCATTGAATATGACATGCCGACTGGAAAACACAGTCCGTTTTTCAGTGTCTAGGAGTTTGTAGGCTTGCTTTCCATGTGTGTAGCCAATCATTATGGCTTTGCGCCCCTTGGAGTAAAACTTCCCTTGCCTTTTGTCTTTTGGAATCAAGGCATATGCTTGGCATCCGAAAGGGCGAAACAAAGTTGGATCAACTCTCCTTTTAAACAGTATTTCATATGGGGTCTTTCCATGGAGTCCTGATGCTGGGCTGCGTGCTGTGATATATGCAGCTGTTTGCATGGCATCTACCCAAAATGACTTTGGGAGCTTGGAATCATGGAGCATAGTGGTTGCTAATGTAGCCAATGTCTGATTCATGCGTTCTGCAATGCTATTTTGTTCCGGAGTATCTGCAGCTGTAGTTTCTTGGATGACACCATCTCCTCGGAGTTGATTTTTGAATGCATTGGCAGTATATTCTCCTCCCCCATCGCTCCGGAGGAATTCTGTGTATAGTGGAGTGAAGTTTTCTTCTCCCAAATGAGTCCGGAAGAATGTTTGGACATCTTCTTTCCATTGCTTGTATTGTTCCAGTGCTTCACTTTTATGTTTTAGGAAATATATCCATGGAAATTTGGAGAAATCATCTACAATGATAATCCAGTACCAAAAACCCTCCCTAGAAGTTGGTTTGATTGGTCCTCCAACATCTGTGTGCACAATTTGTATGGGGTGCTTGGCTCGGTTTCCTCCAGTGGACTTGAAAGATAATTTCTTCATCTTTCCTAAAGCACAAGGTTCACAAAACTCCGGGGTTCCGGTAAGGGTGTCTATGTCCTGGAGCTGTCTTTTTGTAACCATTCATTGCAAGCGGTCCATTCCAATGTGTCCCATTCTCCTGTGCAATAAATTTACATCTACTGCTGCAAAAGCTGACTCCGGGTTGATTCCGGGTTTTGCTTGGATGTGATAAAGTCCTCGCTTGTGTAACGCAGTGAGGATAAGTTCCTCCTTTTTCCGAACTTCACAAGCATTTGACCCTGCTGGAAAAAGTGTTGATAACCCCGTTTTGGACAATTTGTGGACAGAGACGAGTGCTAACGTGAAGTTTGGCACAAGTAAGACATTTGACAGTGCAATATTGTAGTCCTTATTGCCAACAGTTGCTTGTAGGATTACTGTTCCAATGCCAATGGCATTTACAGAGGATTCATCCCCAAAACTGATTGTCCTCGGAGGATGCAGAACATGGTATGTTCCTGGCTCAAACCAGGAGTGGTGAGGGACCATGTGGGATGTTGCTCCGGAGTCAATAATAATTGTTGTTTTGGTCTTATTGGGTTCTGACACAAGGTAAGCTTGAATGTGTTTAGCAAGGGGCTTGGAAATATGTACATGTTCCAATGCAATATGACTTTGTTCCTCCTCGGAGTCAGATCCAGATGATTGCTCCGCTGTATTTGCCTTTTCCTTCTCTTTTCCTTTATCCTTGTGTCTTTTCTTTCCCTTCTTCCTTTGACCTTTTTCAGCTGACTGAAGTGTTCAACACTCTGAGGTGTTGTGTGATTTGGCTTTGTGGAAGTTACACCATTTCTCCTCGGATTTGAGTGCTGATTTGGAACCTCCAGGGGCCTTCCCTGACTGTCATGCAACTTCTGCAGTGATCCGGATCTCAACTGCATCAAAGGTGAGTTTATTTTCTTCAATCGTGTTGATTACTGATGACTGAAATATTTGCCATTCAGGAGTGCATGGGAGAGATTGGAGAAGAGCGAAAGCCATGAGTTTGGTATCAACTCCTAGTTTCATTCCAGAGAGGTGTGAATCAATTGTCCGGATTTTCGTAATGTGGTCCTGGATAGGTGATGTCCCATCCCAGGACAATTTGGTGAGTTGCTGGAATGAATAGAAGGCCAAGGCAATGTTGGACGTTTGATGGAGTGAGACAAGTTTATCAAATAACTCCTTGGAGCTGGTGAGGTCTCCAGTCCTCATTAGGAGGGCATCAGAGATGTGGTCCTGGATGATTCCATGTGCCTTCTCATCCTTAAGTATCCAGGTGATCTCAGGATCCTCCGAGGAGGTAGGTTTTCCTGGTGAGGGCTTAAGCTCCTCTCCAGTAACAACCCAGAGAACTTTTTCCCGACGTAGCTTTGAGATGATCCGGAGTTTCCATATCTGAAAATTGTTGAGTCCAGTGAGAACTGGACATGCGGATGTATCGCGTGCTGTGGTCATGGTTCCGAGGTTGCCGTTTCAAATAAGAATTATTTCCTGTGTTGCTTTTGCGCACCAGGGCTCATAACCTAATAAACCTATTTGAAACTCAGCCGCTGCCCAAGAGGCTATAGAAACAATTGAGGTATTTCTATACTAAACCCCCTACTACTTATAGTCGGAGGTGCTACTCGCTACAGTATAATGACTCCTAGGAGAACAATGGTTACTCCATGGAGTGGTGGCTATGCTCCATGGAGAACAATGGCTGCTTCGGCAGAGACCGGGTTTATCCGGTTTTGTCAACACTTACTTAATTCACACAAAACTGAATTTAACCTTGGTTATCTTTGATGGTATGTAAAGAGTTTGTGATTTGACTGCCTTATCTAATCACAAACTTGGACCTTATTACTAGAAACTGAGTAGTACCAAGTTGTCTTATCAGTAAGTACTTATCTAATCCAATCAAGTGCTTTGCACTATTTCTCCTGGCCTGTCAAGGCTTTCCCATACAATGCCTCAGCTTCTGTGTACTTTCCCTGTGAATCATACACTGATGCCAGGTTGTTCAAGGTTCCCAGTGTGTCTGGGTGCTCAGAACCAAGCTGTTTCTCCTGGCCTGCCACAGCTCTCCCATGCAATGCCTCAGCTTCTGTGTACTTTCCCTGTGATGAATACACTGATGCCAGATTGTTCATAGTTCCCAATGTGCTTGGATGCTCAGCACCAAGCTGTTTCTCCTGGCCTGCCACAGCTCTCCCATACAATGCCTCAGCCTCTATGTACTTTCCCTGTGAATCATACACTGTTGCCAGGTTGTTCATTGTCGCCAGTGTGTGTGGGTGCTCAGAACCAAGTGTTTCCTGCTTGATTTTCAGAAATTCCATGTATAGTGTCTCTGCGTCCTTATATCTTCCTTGGCTACACATGTATTCTGCCAAAACAAATCTCCCACCAAGAAGCTTCTGGTTTGCTCCCTGTATATTTTCTATGTTTGCTAATGATTGTACGTGTGAAGCAATTAGAGCACACTGTGGCCAACATTTGGGGGAACGAGAATCAGAGATATTGTCTATAGCAACCCCTATGAAATTGACAGTGCAGTCGAAGAAGTCCTCCCATAAACCATCCACTCTTGTCATCTCTCGAACAAGAAAGCTGGTTAAATCATGCATGTGTAACACAGTGGCATCCACACTGCCAGTACAGTAAACCAATGACAGTTCTTGTAGCTGTCGAATGACTCGAGGCAGACCAATAGAACATATCATAGCAGAGAGATGTTCTATCAGAGTGCTCTTGATCAAGACCATCTCTGTCTCTTCGAAGGTATTGTTGCTAGTACAAGACAGACACAGGCATGCTTTTGCCGTTTTTATATGCAGCTTGTGCATGATAGTTCGCACAATTCCACCCTTAGGCTGGGGATGTGCATCCATTACCTCTGCAGATATCTGATGCTTGGTTTCAGTAATGTTCTTCGCAGTCTCGATGATGACATTTAAAGCAATGCTTTCTGGGTCAAAGAACGAAAGCAATTTAAGAAAATTCCTAGTGTCAGTATCTTGAAATGCGTGCTCCAGAAGACTGCCAAGCACAGCAGCAACAGACTTTGCCTCGTAATCGTCGAGATCATTGTCCCACTGGATCATCTTCACATGCAAGCATATAATCAGCACAGATAATGAGTATCCCTGTATAAAACAATACTTACCTGTGATTTTTGGGTGGAATCTTTATATAAAACCAACATTTCCTCTATGCTGTACGTCGACTGTCTCTTGAAAGACGCAGCCTGCACTATGGCCAACGGCAGCCGTCCGACGCAGTTCACCATCTGCTCTACTACGTCCGCAGCAGCGGAGGATGAATCATTGGAAGATAAGCGAGCATTTGCAAGGAACAATGTTGCTGCATCCTTTACATCCAGCACGTCGAGATGGACAACGTTATCCGGCTGTCCTGCAGCAAGGGCCACCAGGTCTGCGACATGCTGAGTTCGGGTGGTGTATAAAATCCTTCCCTGTGCATTTGAGTGAGGCAGATATGTTCGGAGAAATCTAACTGTGTCTCTGGAAACATTGTCGAGCACGATGAGCCAAGATAAAGGACCGGATTTCTCAAACCAGTCACGGACGAACATCAGCTTTGCCTCTTGATCCTGATGCAAATCCGATTTCCCAGTGAAATATAAGACCCTAGCAAAGCCTTCTTGAAGCTTCTCTACGGTAGTACTAGAAATCCAAAACACGTGCGAGAATCGTTTATTGTCATATTCCGTTTTGGCGTACTGCAAGGCCAGCTGAGTCTTTCCAAGACCAGGCATTCCGTAGATCGCGCATTGGGTAGGTCGGTCACCCTGGCTTGTATCAAACAACTTTTGCAGTTGCTCCAGGTCTTTTACATGCCCAGTAAAGTGAGGAGATAAGAGATCGATGTGGGGATCGATGAACCGGGGCAAGCTCCTCGGATCATCATTTCGTTGGCTAGGGGTGGTAGCGACCTGATAGCTATTTGTGATAGTCATGGTTCCACTAAAGTGGCTACCGACGTCGACAAAGTTGCCTCCCCTAGCGTCTGTATTTTGAGCCCCGTGAAAGAACCCAGGCCTCGCGCCAGAGCCAGAGCCAGTATCTTGTGTATGCGTAGCATCAGGCATTGAGGTTTTGTTCGAATCCATCGAGTATGGTGCGATTCAGTTGTTGAAGCAAAGTGGGGGGTGGGAAGGAGTAGGAAGGAGGTAGTAGTACAATAACGCAAGCGCTGAACGTTAAACACTCTCACGCAGGGGCCAAGCATGCAAAGCAAGTTCGCGGTGCGTTGATCAAAATATTTCTACCCTCGCGGTGGGCTTGATATGGCATACACGTAGAGAACATCTATTGCAAAGAAAAAAACACACAGAGAGCGAAATAAAACACAAAAACATGTCCGTCACAGCCAACTACTTAAAAATGCAAGTAGTTTTATTATGTTCTCACGCATGGGCTACTATGTCTCCTTGTTAAGGTATATTCATCTCACGATAAATATTCTTGACCGCGACTGTCCTTCATCTTCTTTGAATACATACTAAGTGCTGTGTACTATCTACTATAGATTGAAGCGTACTACAGGGGCCATAGAACAAGCTTCCGTACGTCTATGATATGGCCATATTTCTTACATGTGTCACTACTTATCGACCATCATTAGCTCCAAAGGAAAAAACGCGCGCATATACTAAGTACGCACCTTCAATCTATCCGATCGGACAAGAAATTTAGATCAAGATGGTCGAAACTCATCACCATCGCGCAACACTCAAACAGGTCAGTTTCGTCCCTCAAATTCACGATAGATGATTCCACAGCCTCTCTTTAGCAAAATAAAGCATTCAAATCAAAACATGCTACGAAATCTTCCCTAAAAGATCTCGCGAAAGGTAAGTATCTCGGTGATTCTACTCTTGACCGTTTCTTACTCTCATTTCAGGCCGCGTCAATCGGCAATCGCCAAAAATCACCACAACAGCCAATACAGCTGCCCAAGCCCGTCTCAACAGGCGTAACAATGCAAAACAATCCCAAGCCAAAAAACGCCAGGCCATCATCTCAGCGACTCGAATCTTTAATGGTATCGATGGTGCACCACGAATTGTCGCGGTCATCCCTCTTACAGCAGATGTTGATGCCCGCAACACTGTACAAGCCCTGGCAGAATCCTTAGGAGTCCCTGCTGACGATTGTCCCGCAAGTGGACTGTGGAAAATGAAGTAATTTTATGCATCACACATTCTTCGCATTTCGCTGAACGCTTTTTTTTTTATTCGCCGTTCATAGAGCAGAACGCTTTAAGACATCATTACAATTCACGAACATCCCCTATGGAAACATGTACGCTGCTTTGGATGCATGCAAAGCCGCCGATTATGTCGTTTTGGCTCTCTCTTCTACTGTAGAGGTAGACAATTGGGGCGATGTCCTTTTGCGAACGCTACAAGCGCAAGGCCTTCCAGATGTCGTGACCGTAATGGCATCTAACCCTTCTCTAGACGTAAAATCTCGAACAGGTATTCAAAAGTCCCTCCTATCATTCATCCAGTATTTCGTGCCTAGCCAAAATAGGATATTCGATCTTCACGCCAGCTCAGACAGGTTAAATGCCTTGCGAGCATTGTCCGAGGGTAGACCTGGAGAAGTGAGATGGAGAGAAGGTCGATCTTGGATCTTAGGAGAAAACGTTGATTGGAGAGATGGAAATCTGCTTGTTACAGGTGTAGTGAGGGGATCGAGCTTATCTGCGAATCGATTGGTGCATATACCTGATTTCGGGGATTTCCAAATATCGAAGGTAAGGGATACTTTCTTGATGCATGGTGGAGTTGATCCCAATATAACATTGTTGCATTAGATCGTGTCTGCCCCACTACCCAATCAATCCAAGGGTGGTATAGGTATGGAGTTACCGTCTCTACTTGCCGAACCTGACTCTTCATCCGCCGATTCGTTGGTCTCTGCTAACGATCCTGATGACATGGCCAATGAGCAAACATGGCCTACGGAGGAGGAAATGCAGGGACCTGGACACATAACTTATGGTGATGACGGGCTACCAGCAGCCATAAAAGGAACTACGCCGAAGGTAGTGAGGCGTATACCGAAAGGAATGAGCGAGTATCAAGCCTCGTGGATCGTCGATGAAAGCGAGGATGAAGGAGGCGAAGAGGAGGATGACGGGGAAGATAAGAATGTGGCCACAGAAGAAGACGAAGAGATGGTGGACTTACACGATGACGAGATGGAATCAGAAGCCCGTAAGAGCGTTACTTTTCAAGATCTTGACGTGGAGGAAGAAGAAAAGCAGTAAGCGGTAATCAATTGCCTTTTGGACGTTGATCGCTGAGGTTTTCTTTGACAGGTTCCAGAGTTGGCGGAATCGCGGTCGCGAAGAGCAGGATGATCTGACATTCCCCGACGAAATCGACACTCCTCAAGACGTGCCAGCTCAGACCCGATTCCAGCGGTATCGGGGCATGAGGTCATTCCGTACTAGCCCTTGGGATGCGTATGAGAATCTTCCTCGTGACTATGCTCGCGTCTTCCAGTTTGAAGATTACAAGCGAACAGAACGAGGTGTTCGTAGGCGAGCAGAGCAAGAGCTGGGGTGTGTCGATGTAAGTATATGTGTAAAATTTAGCTCAACTGTTAGGACCACTGACCTGGCCATTTTCAGCCTGGAGTCCGAGTGACCGTGTATATCCGTGCCCCACAGGAAGTCATGAGACTCGGCAACAAAGCTTCATTTGTGATATTTGCCTTGCTCCAGCACGAACATAAAAAGTCTGTCCTCAATTTCACTATACAGCGCAATACGGAGTACGACGAAACTGTCAAGTCCAAGGTACGATTACCGTCTCATTCCAACCCAGCTTAAATTCAGATTTGGCCTTTCAGGATCCATTGGTTCTGTGTGTGGGGCCTCGTCGATTACGGGTAAACCCTGTCTACAGTCAGCACACGCGGGGTGGAGGTAAAGGAGCGAATAATGTTCACAAGTTCGAACGCTTCCTTCGTCACGGTGTGACCAATGTTGCTACCGTGTATGGACCTGTCATTTTCGGCAAGCAACCATGTGTCCTGCTCAGGGAAACTTCGGATCCACAGGGTGTGTGAAGTCATACAATCAGATAAGGTCACTAGCTAACTGTTCTCAAATGCATCAATAGCACCACATCTTGTAGCGACGGGAACTTTCCTGAATCCTGATACGACACGCGTCATTGCGAAGCGTATTATACTGTCAGGACACCCTTTCAAGGTCCACAAGAAGACTGCGACCATTCGCTACATGTTCTTTAACTCTGGTATGAGTAACACATGTTTGATTTCGTCATCAGGGTCTGATGTGTGGCTGTTTTTCAGATGACATTCAGTATTTCAAACCAATACAGTTGCATACTAAACATGGACGCACAGGACACATTCGCGAATCCTTGGGCACTCATGGGTATTTCAAAGCCTATTTTGATGGCCCCATTAACCAAATGGATACTGTGTGTATGTCTCTCTATAAACGAGTGTATCCAAAGTGGAGCGAGCTGTGGAAAGAACCTCAAGGGCAATTGACGGTGGATTCTGATGCTATGGAGGAATAGTGGACACTCCTGAGATCTAAGATCAGGCGTGCTGCTAATGTACCAATAGATAAAAATCTACGCCGCGATATACTATATAGTTCATCTTTACTATGTGCTACCTCGTGGTATGTGCTGTAAATCGCAAAACCCAGTGTACAATTGCGCGGTAGAAGTAATTTAAGGGGAGCACTGCTATTATTAGTGTTATCACCTCCTGGAAGTGGAGTACCTTGATACACCCATAATATTCTGTCAGTCCGTGCCTTACAGCAGCAACGCTGATACAACAATATTAATGTGCGCGTCACGCATGCATGTACCAAGTCTACAGACTCTTCGAGACTTGAGAAATAGTGCTTTTCAAGAAAATAGCCAGGATGATGTCATGGGCCCAGAGCACTTTTCGAAACTTAAACCTTGCTGGGCAAAGTTGAGGGATACAGAGGTATCGATCAATTTGCCTAGTGCTTCATGGAGTGACGTCGTGACGTAGTCTCCAATAGCCGACCAAGTTACAGTCTGATATGAAAGTCGACCATCAATATATAGTCGTGACGTCCTTATGCACGTGCGCCGTAGAAATTAGAGGCCAGCATGTAATACCCAACTGATGCGAGATCCTGGCTCCTGAAGTGGGTGGATACTGCCTTCCCTTAGTCTCCCCTAGGCATACCATTTAGGAGGAAGACAGTCATTCCTCCTATCAATAGCCTTCCCTGGGCGTGATCAGCGTGATGTTGAATGTGAATATATAAGCTAAAGAGATACCAGCTATAATCACCCAAAAACAGAGACAAGTCCGAGTCAGTGGCAGCAAATGTTGATTGACATTGTACGCCAAAAGAATTGTGATGGCTATTGATATATGAAGGCGTTGGAGTATTAAGATATGCTAATAATGGGGTAGGAACAGTGTGAGAAAGCAGCGTGATCATACAGTGTTTGCTAATGTACACATACGTGGTGTGCTGGATACTTGAGGCTGACTTATACATAGCAGCGATGACAAGGTTGAATAACGATAACAGTCAACTAGAGTGGACATACGCACATGCAGTGGAAAATCGTTACGATAAAAAAGTTCTTAATGTGAATCCGACGCTGCTGATTTGGCTGATGAACGAGGCGGCAAATAAGCAAAAAGATCAGATTATCATTCATAACATATATTTTTCTTACGAGAATGGCTTCGTCGCCGTTCACCTTTGCGTGGAGATTTCTCTCTCCCAGACTCTGACTTTTTCTGCTCTAGTGCCTGATGGATTTGCCATTGTTCCAGCTGCCTGAGAGTGTAAGCAGCGAGCTCTTGGGAGTAGCGAAGTTTTTCAGCGTCTGATGCATAGGCCATTGTGGTTGGAAGAACTGGAGATGATTGGGAAATAGATGTCATTCCGTGTCTGCCGCCTTTCTTTATATTGCATTTTGTGGATTTCTTCGGATCTGAGATGGCGTCCGCGCCTCGAGTCATGCCAACCCAAACCTCCCCAATGACGTAGCCCCTTGAACTATCCTTATATAAACCCTAAAGTGGATCGGAGTTTCAACTCATGCGCTTCGGTGTGAATACACTCACTGGTTCCATTCACTACAAGACCATACAATATGTGCTTAGCATGCCAAGACGGCGAACAAAGCAAGAGAGGATGCACTTCAGAATACAGAGTGAAGATAGTAGTATATCATCGACGGATTAATCTTCTACACCATGTCCATGTCGAATCCGCGACATCTGTGAGCCCTATCCAGACATCTTCTAGTAAGCCATCTAGCCCCTCTGGATCGTCCCAAGTCGCTCCACCGTCATCGTTCCCTGTCGCTGTGAACCGTAATACGTCCTTAACAGTCACAAGGCCTGCTAATACACCATGATCTTCAACAAGGATAACACGTGGCCTATAAAGTTTATTAGTTCATGTGTCATGTCCAATGGAGTACAGTGGCAACTATGTCTCTGTGTCTCTCCATGGGTCAAACACTTGGAAATGATATGTTGCATGCCAAAACGAGACATGACGTAAAGCGAACCCAAATAAACTGAGACGTACCCCATCCTTTTAAAGAGTTGCATCACGATCTCCAAAGGTAGATGTGATGCCACCGTAAACGGTGTCTTGAAATTATGAAATCATCAGCAAATGCTACATTTAACGGAAGCCCGCGACCTATCATACCTGATTTACCCAAGGCCAAAGCTTAAGAATGTCGTTTGATGCTGTCGTTCCAATAAGCTCCGTAGCAATTTCTTCCTCGACGCCCAGCGCAGGTCCAGACGTGATGCCCGATAAACCAAGATCTTCCTGGTCAGAAGCTTCACGAATAAATAAGCAGGGAGTGTTTGGTCGTATGTCGCCCATTTTGTGAGCCTTATCTATGGATAAGGGCAGACGTATGAATGACCGATGGAACCTGAACGAGGTGTGGAGCACCTACCCAACACGTAGCGGAGTTCCGTCCTCCCGATATAACCTACGAGGAGCCGAGATGAATCCGAATTGATAATAGGGAAGCCTTTCACAGTACTCGAAGCCAGTTTCTCCTCTGAGCAGATCAGCTAATGCTTGAATCCATCTATCAAAGTACTTACCTACGTCACGGACACACATTCCAGACACAAATAACGTATGCAAGTCTGACTTCATGACCTTGGATACTATAACGAAATGAGTCTCACTAATAAGATAGCAGCCTGATCAGACGCTCACCGGGTTCATTATAGTCATGATCATCGTGTTCCAAAAATGGATATCCGTTGAAGCGTATCATCTCATCTGCAATGCCACGGGTCCCAAGGAAATCGCCCACCGCCTTTGTGACAAGAAGGACGATCTGGGAAACAGAAGTCAGAAGTATTCAGATATATATATCTCACAGAAATACCATGGTGGGCAGGATGTATGTCAAGGCTCCGGTAAGTTCAAACATGATCACGACAACTGTTACCGTAATCCTCATGACCCCGCTCAAGGCAGCAGCAGCCCCAAGAAAGGCATATGTTCCTGGAGTAATGCACGGCACATCTGGATCACAGACAGCAAAAATGCCAGAATGCGAGTAAGCTCTTTTGAAGAAATCATTTCACGCCTTTCTCCCATAAATCAATAAAATCAAACATACCTATAAACAGCTTTCACCATGATGCCTACCATACGACCGAACGTAGCACCGATGGCCATCGAAGGGACGAAAATACCAGCTGGAACCTTGCATCCGTAAGATATGACTACGAGTCCTATGCGAATAAATGTAGCCAGTAAAAGTGAATTCGCCATTGGCCATTGCACTGACGTTCTTGAGTATCGTCATCAGCTTCAATAGAGAACGAAGATTCTGTTTGCTTACTGGCACAAGTTGTCGTAGTCTCCACCACCATCGCATTCACGGAAAAGTATCGACATGCTTTCCGTCATGTCGATGCGGAGAAACCTATTGAAGTATCCTACCATTGCGGTCAAGGTCGCGAGTATGACGGCTTCAGCTACGCCATGATTGGCGAGGTGCTTTTTACGAAACGCGGCGACTTGTAAGTTGAACTTCACGACAAAGGCTCCATATAAACCCTACTGCCACGTGTGAACAAAAAGTTAAGCATATAGGAGTGAATTTACCCCAAATATCCCCAGGATGATGAAAAATATAATCTCGAAGAAGTGCCAATCGCGATCGTAAGTTACCTGGAACAGCACCAGCTTTCCCGTCCTGAATGGGTTCATCGCCTGCAAGGTGAAAGTAGCCACTAAAGCACAGAAAAAGCTTCTCCACATTGTTCTGATGCTGAATGCAGAACTCATTTCCTACATGATTGTGAGCTCCTTCCCACTCAACGTATTGCGAATATATGCTACCTCGATGGAAAACAAAACACCTCCGATGGGCGAACCGAAAGCAACTGCAACTCCTGCTGCACTTGCAGCTGTTATGATTTCCCTCATTTTACCTGGATACATATGAGGCAATGCGAGCTGTGGGTCCAATGATTTACAGTACCTTGACTTTGCCTGAATTTCTTGAACAAGCCAGCAACGAGAGACCCAATACAACAAGCGACGTGTACTGATGGGCCCTCTTTACCGACTGACAGACCAGAAGCTATGACTAAGGGCTAGACATGCTCAGTTATGAATACTGATGATGCAATGAGAAGGCACACCAAAGTGATACTCTTGATAAAAAACGTTGCGAAGCCTAGAAAGCCCTGCATGACGAATCCTGCGAGAATACATTTGATCTCTGAGATGCCAGAGCTGGCGGCATATTTTGCCATAGATCGAACGAGATGCGCCGCAATAAAAGAAAATAGAGCCTACAGCACATTGGCACTTGTCTTTGACGAGAAATCAAGGACGTACAGCGAACACAACATATATCAACCATCGCGCAGGAGTAACGGTGCTCCATGGATGCCACGACGGACATACATCCATTTCGTTGCTTTCAATCTCCCAGCAACAGAACTGTTGGTTCAGCCACCACCCATCCGAACAGTATCCCATTTTTATGTCCGACAACCACTCAGTGATGATGGATATCAGGGCAGCATTCACGCCGATGCCAACACCTACGCCAGCTTGTCAGTGTATGCGCTTAATGACGAGATGATAATAATCCATACCAACAAGACTAATCACAAGCCACGCATGGCCAGCGTCCACGATCTTGTTGAACTGCGCCCTCAGCCACGCCGTAGTTCTCTCTCCAAGAGGCCCACGATAAAGCACACGAGAACCCTTCGAGTTTCGTAGCCGCCTATTTCTTTCGAGAATAGAGTCTTGGATCCAATCTAAAATTTACTATTTTCAGCAACGAGCATATTCTACCGAGATGTATGCGCTTCAAGTCGTTACCTATAGTCGTAAAATCCTCATAGCGGCTAAGCAAAAATTCAAATTCTTAGCCAACATTTGTCGACATGGATCGCAGGGACATACCGTATCTGTTCTAGCTCGTCGTCGTCAAAATGCCCGCCATTCGTTGGTAAGTTCAAAGGCTGCCTTTGAGCCATGAAGATTTCCTTCAAGTTCGGTAGCACGACTGGCGTATGCCTTCCAGCGTGGAAAGAACCCGTGATCACGTGCCTGACAACTTCATGTCCCAAAACGGAGTGCCTATTTATGATCGACGACACAGAAAATTCAGGGAGGCTCGGATATCAGAAGTCTCATAGAACATGACCCTCGGAGTAACGCATTGCCGGTGACCCGGACATGATATGAATAAACACCTGCGAAACTGGTCAAGAAGTTCAGGTATACGTGTTTAACGCCCGCAACATTAACATCCTTCCATCTTCCTTGTATTGCAGGTAACGCCGCCGCCGCCGCCTGGCAAATATACCAGGTATGAGGATAGGATACCACACTCCAATATCTAAAATCCGATCATTACTGTACAAGGTCTCTACTTTTGGAACAGGTCAGATTAGAACGAAAAGGTATAGCCTGAAGTATTATTGGTATATGAAGCTGTTTTGATCATGACTGACGACCCCAGGCCAGGGCTCGTCACGATATACCATGTCAACGATCTCCGACGAGGAACTCTTCACGTACGCTGAGCGTATTAAAGGAAAAGTCGTTGTCATAACAGGTGAAACACATGCATATTGATGTTCACCAACTTGAACTAACTCATCACTATATTACTACATCAGGAGCTGCAAACGGCATCGGCAAGCGGACAGCTCAGGTTTTTGCGAAATACGGGTGTGTTTCGAAAGTCCTGCATTCTAAGCACACCACATCAGGTCTCAGTCTAGAACAGGGCAAAAATCGTAATTGGAGACCTAGACGTCGATGGCGCAGGGGCGACTGTAGCGGAATCGATTAAAGCTGGAGGGTACGTACGACAAACGATATATACCTTGTGAAGTATTACTGACAGATTATTTTTTTGCTCCTTATAGAGAGGCAGTGTCGCAGCGCTGCGACGTTCTCAATTGGGACGACCAAGTATCTCTGTTTGAGTTAGCCATGAACACGTACGGGGCTGTAGATGTCGTGGTAAGCACGCACTAACCTAATAAATATTGCACGCGAACAACAACCAATTTATTACCAAGATCCCAAATGCGGGTGTCACTGAGATGGGAATATTCAATAGAGTGGAATTCAAAAACGGCAAGCCCATTAAACCAAAGACTACCACCCTCGAGGTGAACTTGCTAGGCGCTTTATACAGTGAACACTCAACCACTGTCACGGTTACATCAAATAGTATTGACGATACATCCCTCTAGCTGCACACTTGGCACTTTATTATCTAAAGGTTGGTAGTGTACCCGGTTCTCTCAAGGCTATAATTTTCATGGCGTCGATGTGTACGTCTTGGTTTTTCACGGTTCCAGATTATATGATTGATGAGATGCCACTCATCGCGTAAATAAAAAAAAATAGCGTCGTGGCAAGCCATCCCAGGTGGGACAATGTACTCTGCAGCCAAACACGGAGTCCTTGGCGTTATGCGTTCCCTTGATCCCATTTTGGCTCTCGACGGCATCCGTACAAATGCCATACATCCATGGTTCGCAGGTAACCACCATATACACTGCGACATGCAGTACAGCATTGATCCGCCTGGAAACAGATACCGCTATCGTCCCAACCATCATGCGGTTAGCAATCGCTGGAATCCCTTTGACGCCTGTTGATCGCATCGCAGGGGCTTTCTTTTACGCGGCTACAGATCCAGATATGAACACAAGTGGATCTCCTCTTCTTTTACCCGATGATGGACCAGTATTCAGGCTGGATAAGGAGGAGCTCCGAGAGGGCGTATATGGTCTGGTGAATGCTCGTACGGCGATGCTCACAAAGTAAGTTGATTGCCATGGACACTATGGCGAAAATTCTTGACGACCGTTCTTCTAAAGGGGGATTTCCTCCTTGAAGTTATTCATCGGATTCGTCATCGATCTATTGCGGGTTGTAAGAGGAAATAAGGGGTTCCTGATTATGTTTTCTGTAACAGCCTCGTTGGCGTTAAGCAGAGTCCCGGTAATTTCCCAGTGGATTCGAAAATAAGGTTTGTAACGCACGTAGGGATATTGCCCAAATTGTTCTTCTGTCCGCCTCGATCTCGTATTGTCATTGGCCTATGATGCCCTCCGTGATTACTGCTGTCAACTAGTCACGGTTGACCCAAAAAAAACCAAGGACCGCTAAAGCTCCTGTAAACGAGTTTACGTCGTAAATGATCAGTATCAGCATATGGTCTGTGTACTGCCCAACTATACCACATCCAATTGGAGGGTAGCTTCACTAGCTTCAATGATGGGTTCCCAAAGAGAACCCATTGAGCAGCTGTTTAAGGCTGGGTGATCGGACCACAAAAGCGCAGACTTGAACGGGTTCTAGGTAAGGCGAAGAAATGGTGAACCTGACTACTGTCAAATTGTAAGCACCCAGCCGCAGCGCTGGGAAGCGACCCGCCATAACAGCAATCATGATGTGGAATATAGACGTATAGGGGAAGGCCTACGTGTGATGTAGGTGATGGCCATGGGTGACCGGGTCGTAATATACCTGACAGGCTTCTAGCAGCATTGGAGACAATGTCTGAGCCTTGAAGGTAGCTTCATCAAAGATAAACAATTTCCAATCAGTCCTGTGCGGAAAAGAATGCTGGTAAATAGCACTTTAGCTAGAATAAATTGGCCCCTGTACTTACAAGGACAGTGGCATTAGAGAAACCGAATACAAGGCTAGAAGAATGTGAATAATGCCGTCAATGAGGGAAATACGTACAAACTTTGAAGGATATCGCAAAACATGAGAACCTTATGGCTCGTTGTTCCAGCGAATGATTTTTAGGCAATTTGACTCCGGGATGTACGCCGGAAGCTCATCGTGGTAAAAGGATGAACAACTGATCCACAGCGAATTTGGAGCTTGAAAAACCGCCTGGTGTTTTATGTGTACTAGTAGTATGACATCGAGCTGCAGTGAGACCCAACAAGCTGACGTCGGCAACGGTGATCCACCAGGCCATATTAGAAATGTATGAGCAAAGGGCGAGTGACACGAAAAGGCTTTGAAAACCTGGATTGAGGTGAAAGGAGCTGCCGTGACTTATCGTTGAGACAAAAGGCAGGTTTGATATCGTTAAAGCCTCCCCTTTGTAGATTTTAATCTCGAACGTTCGTACTGCCACTCAGGCTAGTCGACTAGTCACTAGTGCTGACCAGAATATTGGTTCTAGTCGATCATGGGCCGGGATCAGCCGAGTTACTAAGCAGACATTCACCAGGCTAATTGCTAGTTACTAGTATTCGACCACCAACATGGCTTCGACAGGCGAAGTCATAGTGCCATTCTTCAAGAAGGGAAAGTCAAGACCCACTACATCTCGCCTCAGAGCCACATCGCCTCCACCAGCCCCGTTGAATGTCCCCGTTTCGTCTTCCTCAAAATCAGAAGTCGTCTTGCCTTCTCGAAAAGCCAACGGCAACCTTCTCAGCGCTGGAACCAAACGTACATCGTCTCAAAGACATGAAATCGACGATCAAGATGTCCCAGAAAGAGAGGGTCCAGATATCAAGTGGACTGCTTCTGGGTCGCATGTTAATGCCGCTTTAGACATTTTGGCAGGAGACGAGGCAGCTGAGCTTCTCGCGAAACGACAAAGGAAAGAAAAGGCCGAAAAGGGGGACGAGGACGAGGATATTCCTGACGACGGGCTTTACAGGGGACAGAAGGCTTACCGGAGCCATATCAAGAAAAACCAAGAAGTCCCAAAAGCTATGCGTGTAGGCCCACAACGGAGCACCAATACTATTCGTACTGTAACTATCGTCGACTATCAACCAGACGTTTGTAAGGATTATAAGGGTAAGCTCCGTTGTTTTTCGCATTCGTATGCGATGATACGCTAACACTTTTATCTCTCCACAGAAACTGGCTACTGCGGTTTTGGAGATACTTGTAAATTCCTGCATGATCGGGGCACATGTGGGTCATGTCAATTACACTTGTAAAATAATTTATTCATATATGATCCCACAGATTTAGCAGGCTGGCAATTGGATAATTTAGCCGCCAATCCTAAGAAGAATGTTGAGGACGTATCCGACTCCGACTCTGACGACGAGGACATCCCTTTTGCTTGCCTAATATGTCGAAAGCACTATACCGAGCCAATCGTCACCCGATGTGGTCATTATTTCTGCTCGGCCTGCGCTATCAAAAGGTTCGCGAAAACTCCGAAGTGTTTGGCTTGTGGCGCTCCCACAGGAGGCATATTCAATAGAGCAGACAAAGTGATGGACAAGATAAATAAGAAGCGGAAGGAAAAGGAAGAGGAAGAGGGTGAAGACGCGGGGAACGCTGGTGCAGACGTAAAGATCGAGGGTTTGATAGAACAGGGTAGCGATGCGGAGGGTGATAGTGACGAGTCTGATGACAGCGCCAATGGAGATCAAGACTGAGCGATTTTTGCCTCGTAATTCTAAATCGACTCATGGGGATTGGTCACTACGCTTTCGTGACTTCCCAAGTTTTATATCGCATTTCGAGTTACGTCCGCCGTGCAGCATGCGCACAGGCTGTAATCACACTTCGCACTGAGCTGCATCTATCTAACCGTGTTGAGTTTGTTCCTGCACTAATAACGATATGATTGTTTCCTGCTCATTGAGTATAGGACACAACGCTTTGAGCATGACAACGGATTGCATGTGACTACAGAAAATTGAATATTATCCGTATGTATCATATCATTTTCATTTGACTGTTCTCAGAAGTAAACAGCTGAACTTAACTTTCTGTTTGAATAGCACCACAGCATCCACACCCACAGAAACTAGCGCCTCTATTCTTGTGTCCCGAGGACTTCTCTTCCGAAAGCTTTACGGAATCAGTTGGAAGCATGCTGCGTTGTCCGCACCGCACATATCGGGATATTTTGAAGTTTCTGATTTGACAAAGCCCCATGGCAGCGAACACGGAATCAAATGCTCCTATCGTGGTGCTCTAGGCTAATGAGTCTGCCACGAGTCTCTGGTTGTTAGCACAGGGTCCAGTTCCCAAGTCTAATTCATATCCGTGTATGTATTTTATGATCGCAAATGGGAATGTGATGATATTGCCCTCCTTGACTAGTGCGATCTGATAGGCACAGTAATTTTTCGGGCTTTCGCTACCAAGGAAGTGTTCCGCAACGATGGTACCACAATGACAAAAGTAACATATATCACTATCATTGGCGCTCTTTTCGCACATTCAAACCCCTTCAAAGCATTTTGAAGTATGTCGCGGAGCCCAATGCGCATCATCGTGTGGGAATGACTGTAAGCATTCTAGAATTGGCTGTCTATTTAACCTTGGTTGCAGTCGAAGACGTCAATACGTCAAAAACTGACAAATGTGGGGACGCGCAGGACCCAACCACAACTTTGAAGCCTGTGAAACCGGATATTGTGTCAAGTAGCTCCATTTCCTCTTGAGAGCACCGCAGCCTGGGCGCTATCTCGACCCACATCGTTGCAAATGATGATGATCAAATGTGCGCGAGTCGCAGGTCTGTGCCCCCGCGCGCTATTGTCCAGCTCCAGCCAGTGCTAGGACTAAAGCGGAGGCCATGTGAATATGTCGCCTTCGTGTTCCGAAGTTAAGCTGATTTTGTTAACACAACGCATGCTATATGGACTTCCTTCGTCTAGGACTGATTACCATCATGATTGCGATTGAGTGATGGGCCGATTCAACCGTGACGCCGTGGGTCGACGGAGGACACTTTGGTAGGCCTCTTTGGCTTCGCCTTGATCTCAGCTGTCGCAAAAGTTTTTGGATGCCGCGATGTGCGACACCAGGAACTCCGCGGGACAGACCATTAACATCTAGTTGTGTCATGCTCTAGCGTTTGACGTTTTTAGCAGTAAGTTCGTGATACAACACTTCCGTGAGTCATGACAAGAAACTTTATTTATGTTATAGTACAGCAGACAATCCACACGAGGCATTTGTTAGATCCATCCGAGTCCAGTGCAGGCACAAAATACAGGGAGATACATACGGCTCTCTGAGCTAGGGTTCAAATCTACAGTAAGTCATATTCGTAATGCTTACATCTAAAAGCCATGGACTCAAGGCGGCAGATAGCGTGTATAAGGGGAAAGATAAAATAGAATGTCCAAGACCATCGTCTACGAGATCCGAACGGCAAGAAAAAAAGAAATGCGAGGTTAGCGAGATTCAGTTATGGACGGCATGACATCGCAGCCGTTGTCTATGTGTCGTTTGAGCGAGTCTGTGCGACTAAACTCGCGGGCGCAGTGACGGCAGCGGTGGGTAGGGGGATTAGCTGCATGGATGGTGTCGAAATGTCTCTTTTTATCATGAAGCCGAGTGAAAGTCCTGTCACACTGGCTGCATGGGAAACGTTCCCCTCCAGCCGCACTCCCAGCCGAAGAGGAAGGACTGTGTACTGGTCTGCCAGTATTGGCCTGCGAGTGGTACGATGTAGGTCCCGGGTGACCAGCTTGGGGATGATGCAAATGAGCAGGAGGGGGGTACGGTTCAGTACCAGTTCGCGCGCGACGAGTAGTTGTCGAGCTGGTTTCTTGGTAGGTCTGCGATGGCGTGGGTATGAACTGCGAAGATTGGACAGGAGGATGAATGCTATGAGTGCTAGCTTGGATCTGAGAGGAGTTGGGGTGGTGTGAAGAATTGGAATGACTGGGGTAAAACGGTTGAGGATACCCCGTGGTGGTCGTTTCACCATGCGCTCCTTCGCTTGGGGCGAAATAGCCTCCGTGCGTATTCCCTGTCAAGGATGCTCCATGTTGTGCATAATTGGCGAATGGAAGCGGACGCAGCATCTCGTTAGCCTGTGTGCCTTAGAATGCACAATGAGATCGGCTTTCAAGAAAAGAATAGAAGATGGACCTACCTGGATATGCTCCAGTGGGAGTTGGTGCATGTGCACAATAGGCAGGTGCTTCCTGAGGGTGCTGACGCGCGCTCTGAGGATAAGCAGCCTGACTCTGCTGTTGAGGATACCCACTGTGCTGCGAGTGGGATTGACGAGAAGGTTGGGAAGACTGTTGAAGGTGAGGTTGTTGCCTTTGACTGTTGGAAGCAGAGGGATGCATTTCGAAGAAGTAGAAGGAGGATGGAATGTGTTGCTTGGGGGTCTGCAGGTCCAATGTAGTTCCAGTGGCCTTTATATCGACTTTGCCATTCTCTTGAAAGCTCGCCTGTCATTCCCGGCCTAGCAACGTACCTTAATGAAAAAAATGTTACTAAATCATTACCTCTGAGTAGTAGTAAACACGGGATGTGCTATCTGACATTATGGTTCCGGCACCCCAGAACCCATTGGATTGGATTTCCATAAATGCGGAAAGGCCGAGGAACGTCCCAGGGATGTGTTGTGGTCTCATCTAACCGGAATGAAACTTCGATATTGGTGTCCGGTTTGTCCACATTATGACGACCTTGTCCCGGGGCAACAGTCTCCGTAGAGCTTGTCATATGTACGTACTCAGGAGGTATGGCCGTAAACCCAATGTGAACATTTCTGGTTCGGTGGCGAGTGGAGCGGGTATGGAAAATGGTACGAGGTGAAGCGTGGAGAGGGTCCGGGTGCTGCAAATGGATGCAGGAGGAAGCTGTGCGGTTAGAGCGCAGGAGTCTGTATGTCTGAATGCGATAACGGCAGGAGATCGCTGGGTTGCAGATACAGTTGATGTCAGTGGTACCGGGAAAAAAAGTTCCTGAAAGTAGATCGGCCCCTGTTCTCGTAAAGACGTATATATCAGTAATAGTTTAATCTCGGTTTTGTTTCAATTCGGCGCACGGCAGGGTGGTGTATTTATGCACCTCCGAAGCAACCGTCGTACTGGTATCAGTATGCATCACACCTGGATACACTTTCATCTAACGTTATGCGGAAAGGTCCAATAGGCTGAAAGTGCCCCTACAATAGCTAACGTTACTCTAGCCTACAGATGAAGGAGATAAATGAAAATACTGACATGGCGAAGTAAGTAACTGTAACAATGTAACAAGCGGAGGTTCGCCGTCGCAGTATTCTTTTCTCCAACTGGTGTACCTTAACTAGTAACAGCACAACCCGGTGAACAAGTTGCGAAGAAGACGTATGTATATGTCCAAGACGAGTCCATTTTCTGGACAACACACTCTTCTGCAGACGGTCAGCTGAAAAAGGGAGTCTCGAAGAGAGGGAACGTTACGAGTAAATATCGACAGAACCTTGCTTGCACTGGACATTACTACACAATTAACACATACCGGTACATGACTGTCAACGGTTCTCCATGAGTCGGACGATGTCATGTCCGGATGACTATGATGAGGAAATCTACAGGCTGGAAAACCGGTCACCAAAAGATGATCAAGTGGCGCCTCTTGTTCTGTGGCGCTACCGCCTGTTGGAGGATTTGCCTTTGAGCGCTGGATAACAGAGTTTTGGACTCGGAGTGCATAGTGCCGATAGATACCAGGGCCATGAAACGAGAACCTGGGCCTTATTGGCCTTGGTTGCCCTATTCATCGGTGCGCTTAACGGATCATTATAACGAGAAGCCACCATGACGATTTCCTGCAACCTTGCCTATCCCTTCATGGACTCGGGACCGACCGCAGACCCCCGATAATCAAATGTGATCATCGAAACTTACACGGTTGCAGAGATGGGCTCTCAGTCGGTTAGACCAGCTGACATGTTCGACTCGGCGAATCTGCGTATCCAGGTCAAGGCTGAACTAGCAGCATGTATATCCGGAGGTCAGCGGAGAAGGTTTCTTATCAATCGGCGGTAACGCAGGCCAGTACGACACCTTGTAACTGATCGAGTCTAGCCAGTTCCTTGCAATCGAATTGATCCCTTACATTCAGGGACAGTGTTGCATCGGACTGTCGCAGTCACCATTAAAAATTTTTAAGATGGCTTCCTTCATTCAAGTTCGCTGTATCTCTACCAGAGAGGAGCGTCGTACCTAATAGTGGAGCTTGTCGTACTTTCTACCGGATGCGAGCCAAGAATTCACCGGAGCGCACGTGTCCATATGATACTGGACAGATGAAGGATCCTGGTGTCAAATGCATCATAAGGAGTTCGTCCTGAACTTAACTCTAACATGAGAGCTCACCGTTGTGAGTGATCCGTAATGTTCGCGTATTTTGTTCTTTTGATGTCTGTCAGCACTAGACTGTGGTGGAATGGGTTAATGTCACTTTTTCGCCAAAGTGCCAAGTGGACCCTTTGCACTGTACCTCGGCACCAAGCAGAGACAAACAGACAGAGATGGCTGAAGCGATGGAGCTGGACTGGATATGACTCATGGCTCCCTTCGACCTAGATGCATGTATCCAGCAACTTCTCCGCAAACAACTGCTGCATGAGGCCCTCTTACGCGAAATATGTGAAAAGACAAAGGAGGTCCTGATGAGGGAGTCCAACGTCGTCCATGTTAGTGCACCGGTGACCGTGGTGGGCGATATCCATGGGTGAGTACGTTCTTTCTTCCATCCCAGGCCTATGCTGATCATTCATTCAAGTCAGTTCTACGACCTCATAGAGATCTTCCGAATAGGCGGTTATGCGCCACATACAAACTATCTGTTCTTGGGTGAACTCTACTCCCATATGTCCATTGAAGGCTCAAGTTTTTAATATGTATCCACTCCCAGGAGACTACGTCGATCGTGGCCTCTTCAGCGTCGAGACAATCTCGCTGCTTACGTGTCTCAAGCTTCGGTATCCTGACCGTGTCCAGCTCATTCGGGGTAATCACGAGTCAAGAGCGGTTACGCAAGTTTGTCTACTCTCGTATGACGTTGTCGTCATGGCTCTTACAAATGTCATAATTATCTTTAGACATATGGCTTTTACACCGAGTGTGTCCGCAAATATGGCTCGTCGCATGTTTGGACATATTTCACCGACATGTTCGATTTCCTGACACTCTCTGTCGTGATTGACGACCGAATATTCTGTGTTCACGGCGGTAAGTCATCGTTCGATTCGTCCCCCTCATCTGACGCAATCGTTCCTTCCTAGGCCTATCGCCATCAATCCACTCGATAGACCAAATTAAAGTCGTAGATCGGTTTCGAGGTTTGTCCTTTGATACCTTGGTCACACTCCGTCGTCGATGGAATTTTTTCCAGAAATTCCCCATGAGGGTCCAATGGCAGACCTTGTGTGGTCTGATCCTGACCCAGAAAAAGAAGACTTTGCAATATCTCCTAGGTTTGCTCACCCTTCCCACCGGTGTCTTCGTTCACTCCAAATTTACTCAACTTTCGCCACACAGAGGCGCAGGATACACGTTCGGCTCTGGAGTCGTACATAAATTTCTCGAAACAAATAACATGTCCCACATTCTGCGCGCCCATCAACTATGTATGGAAGGTTATTCATCCCTGTTTGACAAGCACCTTTCCACAGTTTGGTCTGCACCGAATTATTGCTATCGCTGTGGCAACTCAGCCAGTATTCTCGAGGTGGGCCCTGGAGAGAGTATGTACTTTAACGTATTCGAAGCAGCACCGGAGAACGAGCGCGATGGTCCCAGTCATCAAGCTGCTCAAAATGCGGGTGGGAAGGTAAGCATCGTAACTTTGTTTTTCTATGACTCATTCTCACCTTCCCATTCCCGTGTACCCATCGTTCGGCATGACAGTTGCCCGAGTATTTCCTCTAGACGCTTTCTTACTTTACGATGACTACGACACGAGAAGTCGTTTATTGTTAGCCAGGACTGTGGCATTGAATTTGTAGCATTATCTGTACACAAAAACTCATAGATAATAAATCTCGATACCCTCGATGTTGTGATATCAAGATGACTACGCTTTTTGGTTTGTGCGACGTGACGCTGATTTGGTCCACGATAGATTAGACCGTTGACATGGAGATCTGGACTTGCTCACTTCATGACAGGAATTCGCGTGCTAGTCACAATCCGCCGAAGTATCCCTTCACACAAAAAGGGCCCGACTTCTGAGTCGCGATCCATCGCCGAGCCAGCTTATCACCATATTCCCGCGATGTATTCTCCAGGTCCACGTATCCAAAGTTGTTGCGAAAGTCCAATTCCTGTCGCAAAGCGCAAAGAAGGTACTCGGCCCCGTGCCCAAGTCCGCACCGCCAATATTGCGGCAACGGCATATAACACAACACTCATCTGAGTTCCCCATCGTCGCCACCAGAGCACTATGAGAGTGCGTAGCAAGTCCCGTTTCCGGCGCCGCCCATGGCGAAGCGCGTGAGCCGATGATGGGCCTTGGGAGTGCGTAGACGGGGTATAAACGGGATACCCGAAGAAAGGGTTGAGAATCGACATCGGAGAGATGGAAGTGAGCGGTGAGGATCTCGAGTCGGTCAATGATTCTTGTGCTTGAGTGTGGTCAGGTGTCTGGGTATGTAATGCAGCTGTGGACTCGGCTGTGGAATTAGGTAAAAGTATGCTGGTGGCGGCGATCCGCGCCGGTTGTGGCGCCTCATGAGGCCATGATGATTCTCCCAGTAGAGGATCGTCGATGTCTTCGATGGGAGGAAGTGACCCTCCATATTCTACATTGAATTGAACTTGACTGAGACTCACTTTGTTGATAGAGTTATTAAACAACTTACCTTGCGGAAGTGACGTGAGCGAACAATACTCGCAAAGTAATTCGCGTGTAGGGAAGAACACGCGAGAAAGAGCAGAGGCCGGTAAGACGCGTCTACAGTAAGTCATGTTCTTGTTAGACGCGTTAGTATACAACCATGGTTGACACGTAAACCCACCTTGCTATGGACCACATGCCTGCATGGGCCCAAGAGTAATTGAGCATAAACACTAGCACTATAGTGAGTTTCATTTCTTCGATGTTGGAAAATGATTTAACCACCTGCAGCTAGCATACCGGGATACCGTGGAATGACATCTCGCATGAGCCACGACACGAGGTCAACATTCTGTCAACAACATTCAGCTTAGCCGAGTAAAATGTCATAGGTAAAGTTCAATTCTATGCACGCACGAATGTCTGAAGGGAAACATTTTGAAGGTCGACTAAGAATATGCACTGTAGAGCAATCGTTTTTGCCGATGGAGCATCACATTCGTTGAGAAATCTCAGATGTAGCCGCAGACGCTCGATAGCGAGCCATAGTGTGGGTTTTAAGTCCTCGGATGCAAGCGGAAGCTCTGACACTTTTATTATGACGATGGGTCTGCCGAAGGGATCAGACGCAGGAGGGGGTAGACAGCGCAGCACTCTCGTATATGGGCGACTTAGAAGGGGTAAGAGATTTTTGACACGCCATATAAGGATTGTGCGGACAGACTCCAGAGCAAACGAACGGGTAAACTTATGACGCTGCGATAAGTGGAGGGTGGAGACTTTAGCGGCAGACGTAAGTGCGGAGAGGAGAGCTTGAGCTCAAACCACTTACCCTTAACAGGCGGAAGATAGTTGCTAGGTGGTCCAAAAAAAAAGGGTTGGATAATGTAAGTGGTGTTCATTTTCCAATGTATACGTGATATTCACATGTATCCTGTAGCCATTCCTTTGCCCAGTTGACAGTTTCGCCTCCCATTTGAAGTTCGTCGGTCACATGGGGAAGCACATCCTGAATAAGGGTTTCTTGGAGGGCTAATACATTCTCGAGGTTGCCTTCATATTGGGAGACCAGCTGATCGTGGTTAGCCTGTAGACGGGAGTGGGTATCATCTGACATTGTGTCAAATCACTGCGAGTCAGCGTTCGATGCAAAAGGATCCAAGAGCACCATGGTATACCCGATCCATTTTTGGTATTGCATTTCCACGATACTATTAGGTAATGCCACCTAAAGCGTAGCGTAGGTTAGGGTTATTGATTTTCCATCCGAGCCCTGCTAAAATCTTTAGCATATCTCTCTCTCAACCATCAAGGACGGGGCCGACGCTCTCAATAAACATGGACATCGAAGTTAACACAGAAGGCATTATAATAGGTCGGTATCGCTCGAGACTTTTTTGTAGACATGATATGCTGACCTGCTTTCTCCCAGAATGGTGAAGTCTAAATCTTCCCCACACGGTTATTTTGAGGCGCCCCGTAAAGTCTTAATGCTTTCATCCAAGCGATATCGGAAATGACGATATACGAATTCTCGAAATATAGTGTCCCTGATCCTATTTTGTCTACCGCATCATGGACTTCGCTCAGGCCGACGGGTTACTCTGCGGTCTACTCGGAAAATAAGCCGGATGGATGTGAATCACCTTCCGATATTGCTTGGTTTTACCTTACAACTATGTGTGGCACAAAGACAATTCCTCCTTTGTTCCACAACGCGATGTCTGGTCTTCGCAGAGCACGCGCGCTTTAGCATCCGTATCGCTGCTGTCCTCCCTAAGATCATACCCACGCTACCCACATGTTGGCTGCGGCCATGTCCGACGACGCCCTTTGCCAAGTGAGTACTAACTTGGATTCTCTTTACACTCCAACGTACCTCATTCCCGAACGCGGCAACGTCGTTTTCATAGTTGATTTCTGTCTTCGTAGCAATTGTATAAAACAATTGAAGCTCAGAAGACGGTCAGCATTTGAAGCCGACCAATCACCAACTCTCGGCGGTCTTATTCGTACATACAAAATATATGGTATTGGCCGGATTTTTATATCCATACGTTCTTTGCACTATAAAGGTTAAATTTACTTCGTGTAAATCGTTCATCCTGACTTTCTTACACTCAGGGCAGTTACAGCCTCGGAACCGGTGCCTCGATATTGTGACCAGTCTTTAGCATCGTCCGAAGGGAGGAAGTATGGCAAGGGTGTTCTGAACGACTTGTAAAGACTGTTAACGGCATAACGCCGAGGTAATCGGAGCGCGTAGTGCGATGCAGGACCGAGAAGGCTTTAATTCTTGCCATCGAGAGGCAGTGAATCGTAGCGCTTTGGGGGGCATTGCATTACTGCGCATGTTATCTGCTTACCAGTGCTATCAGTCTTGTCCAGTTTTGATGATCATCTATACTTTTTGCATTTCCTCTTTCACGTACAATGTACGCTGTGCATCACGCCCAAGAGCCAAGGGAATCACAAGACGAATAATGACCACGTAAGTTAGCGGGAATACCACATAATGGCGTATATCTCTGGATACCGAAGTATCCTCCTAGATTCACCAGGATGAGCGAGGCCCGGACAGCTTGTCTCATTTGGTTCTCTGATTGAAAATCAGATTAGTCCAATGAGGCTTTACCTCCGCAATGCAAGCGGCAAAACAGTGACAGCTTACGGACGGGTCACACCCGCACAATCATTTACCAGCGATTGCTCTAACCTATATTAATTCATAATGATACATTTATTACCCTCATAGCCATCTCGACTCCTCTCACATACCTGATCACACAACCTATGGTTGGTTCCCCCTCTCCCTTGCTGGCCTTGACATTCATCTATTCCTTTGCAGGATACCTCTACCAAGGTCTTGGATAGCACCTCTGGCCTGCAGATCTCACAAGTGAAAGTCAGTCAGCCATTCGTACATATTATATATATTTATTTATTTCCCTTCACATCAGCCGTCCGTCTTGTATAACGGACGCAAGGCATCCCTCTCGCTCGACATTGTCGTTGTGGGGTGTGGTCTGGGTGGTCTCACAGCTGCGTTCTGCCTTACACATGCAGGTCACAAAGTAACCATTCTGGAGAGTGCACCCGAAATTGGTGAAATTGGCGCTGGTATCCAAGTAAGCCCAAACGTGACTCGCCTTTTGATCCGCTGGGGACTGGGTGAACGGCTGAAAGATGTAACGGTGAAGCCGCTAGCTCTCACTCTCAGAAGATGTATGTACCCTTTTGGGGCTTTTTATATCTAATTTACTTATGCCACCGTACAGGGAAAGACAACCAATCCGTTGCATGGACGAAATGGGGGAATACCATGGATGAGGAGTTTGGCTCACCGTATTATCACGTGCATGTGAATAATCATAATCTTGCTTTGACTGGTATCGTTTCACTGATGAGCTACCCAGCGAGCCGATTTCCACCGTATGGTTTTTGACTTGGCTTTACCGCACACCACCATTCGAACCAACAGCCGGGTGGTTTCCGTAGACCCATCCAAGCCAAGTGTTACACTTGAATCTGGAGAAGTCGTTTATGCCGACCTTATCATCGGTGCAGATGGAGTCAAAAGTTTAACACGTGAATACGTGGTGGGGGGACCTGACAAGCCAACCCCAACTGGAGATGCAGCTTACAGAGCCACTATACCAACACCGCTTCTGGTCAAAGATCCTGATCTCAAACATCTAGTAGATAATCCCGAAATGGTGGGTTGGATGGGGCCTGGCCGGCATATCATGGCTTACAACATAGTGAGTTACTCAACATTTCTTCTTTCTTTCGAAATAGCCAGGCACATTGATGAACCCGCTTTATATTTGTAGCGCGCAATGAAAGAATATAATTTGGTTATCGTTCATCCTGACGAAGGAGCTGTGGAGTCTTGGACTGCAGAGGGAAATGCTGATAAGATGAGGGCTGATTTCGAGGGCTGGAACGACTGGTGAGAAAGTCGACCCTACTGCACCCATTTCAGGCTATTTTAAGCACAAGGACGTTCTTAGCGTCCGGAAACTCTTGGCTCTGATACCCACCACGCACGACTGGAAGTTAATGGATCGTTCACCTCTCGACACTTGGGTACACAAGGAGGGTAAGCTGGTTTTATTAGGAGATTCGTGCCATCCAATGCTTGTGAGTCTATTCCTTTGTATAATATTCTTACATACATAGCCTGATTCTTCTCTAGCCGTACCGAGCCCAAGGATCTGCAATGGCCGTGAGTAACATAAACCTCGGGGATCATGGGGACATTTTACCGACTTTTTCTCTCCACAGATCGAAGACGCAGCTGTCATCGGTAACCTCTTCTCACACATATCGCATCGTTCCCAGATAGCACCCCTTCTTTATGCCTATCAGTCCATCCGGTACGCTCGCGCCACTGAGACGCAAGCTTCGTCCCGGTTAAACCAGAAAATCTTCCATCTGCCGGACGGTCCTGAACAGGAGCAACGTGACGAGCAGATGCGTGCGGCCATGGAAACTGCGCTGGCTGAATCCCGCGGCGAATCTGTTACGCAAACGGTGAACACGGCGTTGCTCGGAAATGCGAATCAATGGGCGGACAAAACTAAGAATGAAATACAGTTCGGCTACGACGCAGATGCGGAGGCGGATAAGTGGTGGCAAGAATACGGACATACCATTGTGAACGCTGGGAAGTCTAGGATGTAGACATGTGAATATCACGGAGGTATCACGTCTTTTCCAAACGCTGACCAGTAGGTGCTGGCGTACGTTTTGTTCCTTTACGGCTGTATAATTGGTGCACCTTGTATTTTTTTTTTGATATCCATTCACATGTTAAAAAAACTGTAACGTTGCAAAACAGATGGCATCACTGGATGCTATAGCTCAGTTTTTTGTATGTAGAGTTCCTGCTTTAAGTGCTGAGATACCAAAAATGGTAATTTATAAAGTTTGGTTCGATATTTTTTCAGCGGCACTACAGTACCGCAACTCACACTCTGCCAAATACGCCTTTTCTTTTTATGCAAGTCCACTCAAGGGCGCACTGACGAGCACGCTTATCCTTCTGTTTAATTCCCTGGTTGACAAGAAGAAGAAACAGGAATAAAGTATACGCGCCAACAGGATCCTGTAGACCATCTTTGTGTAAACTCTATCATTAAACCACAGACACATGGAATCATTCATCACCTGGTTTCAATCTCATGGCGGCTTCATCGATAGTTCAGTGATGGATGTGGTAGATTTTCCTGGACAGGGCCGCGGTGCGATCGCCGTTTCTGATATTCCGGTATGTGTTGTTGTTCATCATTCAGGCGGTATTGTGTAGAGATTGAGGACGCGCAGGAAGGCCATACCTTGTTTACCCTCCCTCGCTCTCTGACCCTTTCAACCCGAACATCGTACCTGCCTTCTAACATGGGCGCGGAAAGTTGGAAAAAATTCAAACTGGATGAGGGATGGGCTGGGCTGATTCTTTGCATGATGTGGGAAGAGGCACAGGAATCAAAGTCGAAATGGTCGGAATATCTCGGTACGTCCTACCTTGCATGGCTGGCAGGTAAGAGCATATTTGAGGCTAAATCATTAAGCAAGCTTCATTGCCGTCATCCTTTACAACGCCCATGTTCTGGAGCTCAGAAGACCTGTTTGAGCTAAGAGGCACTGCTGTGGTAGGTCTGTCCGCCAATAAACCTCGCGTATTGCTGTACTTCCCTCTTGATCTGATCCTAATTGTTCTCAGATAAAATAGGCAGAGAAGATGCCGAAAGGGACTATTATGATAAACTATTGCCTGCAATACAGGTGAGTAATGTACCCTCAGTTAGGACCAGATTCCCTGATACACGGATGAAGAGCCGCCTAGATTTATTTCCTCCTACCCTTATCGATCAACACTACTCCCTCGCAAAATACCATGTCATGGGAAGTCGTATCCTTTCCCGGAGCTTCCAAGTCGAGAAATGGGATGGACCAGCCAGCGGCGAACATGACGCTAATGTCAGTTCCGATAGTACTGCGATGGAAGTAGATGGCGAAGTCTCAGTTACTCAAGTTCACGGAGATTACAATGATGATGAAGATATTTCCCGTGATATAGATGACGGAAGTAGCGACGACGATGACGACGAAACAGAAGATCCCAGTGATGTGGCCATGGTTCCAATTGCAGATTTATTGAATGCACGATACGGATCGGAGAATGTCAGTATTATGGCCTTCTGGGAAAAAATATTGATATATGTTTTTGTCTTTTAGGCTAAATTATTTTACGAGGAAAGGCACCTGAGAATGATATCTACGAAACCTATCATGGCAGGAGAACAGATAGTATGTCCCGATTCACTATTATGGGCGTCCCGGGTCATCTTAATTGCTCCTTAATATAGTGGAATACCTACGGGGATCTTCCAAACTCTGATTTATTGCGTCGGTATGGTCATGTGGACCTAGTTTCGTTACCTGAAGGAGGAGAGGGTAACCCCGCAGATGTGATTGAAATCCGCGCTGACCTGGTAGTTTCGGCTGTGTCTCAACTGAGCGGTACTTTGACTTCCGATTCGAATCAGACTCGAATCGACTGGTGGTTAGAAGAAGGTGGTGATGAGTGCGTATCCAAGCCAGCGCTTAACCTCTTATAGATACTGATACGCGTGAATGACAGTGTCTTTACTGTGGAAACTGACTTGGTTATTCCTGAAGCCCTGATCTCGCTTCTACGTACACTACTCCTTTCGGAGGCAGATTGGGAGAAAGCTAGAAACAAGTCGAAACCACCAAAAGGGAAGCTTGACAACCCGCAGGTTATATCCTTAGTCACTGCGGTATTCCATCAACGGCTGAATGCATATCCTACAACACTTGAGGCAAGTGGGTTCTGTCAATGAAATTCCTATCGCGGCTTATCGCATGTCTTTTACAGGCAGATGACGAGCTGCTTCGCCAAGATCTTTCTCTCAACAAACGCCACGCAATCATGGTGCGCTGCGGAGAAAAGAAAATTCTGACAGGTGTTATCAAAAACCTACGGCTGATGGAAGAGTCCCTATCAGGTGAGGAGAAGGATAAAAAGAAGAAGCGGACACTGGGAGACGAGCACGGAGGAAAGCAGAGGTCTAAAAGGGTAAAACGGTGAAGGCGTGTCAGTATCACTCTTGACGGTAACTACGCTTTATATACGGGTAAACCAGAAATTGTTGGTTGACTATTGGTTGCAATACTTTTGCACCAAATTCACCTGCATTTCCCTTCTGCTTGATTACCGGATTATGCCGACTGCGTCCTATAGCGATGGCACTGTGGCAACCGCAGCGTTGTTAACCGCAGTGACCAGCTTTCTTCTACACACATACAATGTCGAGCAACAAGAACGAAAACGAAGTAGAAACCTTTCATGAAAACCCCTTTGACGGAGAACGGGGCATCGGAACAGCTGAAAGCAATCATGAAATACACGAGGCTTCACCGCCTGATATAGAAAGTTCCACGGATAACCCAAACCCAGAATCATTACCCGTATTCTCGACAGTTGCAGCCCAGACACCACCTCCACCATTCTCTTCTCCTACTCCAGAGACACAACTCACAACGAATCAGCAAGACGACGTGCCAGACATGCCTCCTCGGCCAAGAGACCAAGAGAGCAATGACTTGCCAGAGCGCGAATCGGAGGACCCGCAGATATCAGCTTTACGTGCGATGTTCCCAGATTTCGATAGTGCAGTCCTGTAAGTTCTTATCTCTTCCTAATAAGTCGTCATGTTCTAATCTAACCCTACTAGTCAATCTGTTTTGGAGTCTGTTGGTGGAAACCAGGACCGTGCTATTGATATGCTCCTGGGCATGAGTGATCCCGACTACGTCCCACAGGAACCTCCTGCCCGACCAGAGCCCGTAAGTACAATGTTCACGAGATCTGAGGGTCATCTTGGGTATTCATGTCCAGGCTCTTATGTAGTCGCAGACGGAGCTGGATGAACAGTTCGCACGAAGGCTGATGTTGGAGGAGCAACAAGCTGCTGGACAACATCAACAAGGATACAACCCGCAGCAGGAATACAACGGATATCAAGGACCATATCAACCCAGAGTACGAGGTCGCGGTGCGCAGCAACAGCAACAACCTGGTGCAGGTGCCAATGCATACCCTAATGGTCAGCGAGACACTGTTGCAGATTTCCAAGAATCTTTTAATAAGATCGCTGAAAGTAAGCATGGTGCTTAGTTATGGAGCCCTCTGCATGCATATTACTGATCTGCGCTGAAAAGCTGGCAAAAAGACATTCAGTTCAATCGTAACCAAGGTCAAGGCGAAGATGCAAGAGTATGACCAATCAAGGTAGGTATGCTACGGCCATCCTTGGACAGCGCTCAATTTTGGCTATCGCAGGCAAGGGCAAGGGCAAAGTTCCAATTACGGAGGAACTCAGCCTACTTGGACGGGCGGAGGACAACAGGCAAACACGTATGGACAGCAACAACAAGCACAGTCGTATTACGACCCCAATGCCCCGCCAAACAGAAGTCCTCCAGCAATTAGTGCATCAACACGACCTGTGCAAGGGTATGATACCACACCCAAGGATACTTATCGTACTAGCACCAGTATGTCAATCATTAATATTGTTTTCCCGCAACTTGGCATTACCATGAATTTTAGGTCCTGAGGATCCAATTCATACAGATGATATGTACAGCTCAGGAAAAACGGCGATCAATGCACACAGCACAGGGGGCTCGGACACGTACTTTACGTCGCCTTATACACCACCATCAAATGACGGTGGTGGCAACCCTTCATCCTTATTAGCCTCCTCTCCACCAAGAGATGTCGCAAGGCCGCCGTCAACAAGTTCAGGTGCACCCCCGAACTTAATCGACCGAGGCATGTTTCTATCAAACTCTGATCCTATATGATATTAACATCAATTTTGAGCAGGAAAATTAGGTTTACTACCTAAACGACCAGTTTCTCTCCTCCGTCCTGACCCCCAAGCTCAGGTACACCCCCAACCCAGGCACGACGATGACGACGAGCTAGATTATGCAGAAAATCCATTTGATGATGAACATAAGTAGCAATCTTGACCCAGAGTTCCTAGGAGGAACGATGTAATTATACGAGTCGCTTAGAAACACGGACTTAATTGTGTTGCGTTACTTGACCAGCATGTCATGTACATGGGAGACCTGGGAACTAGTATATTATATAGTGGACACACATGTTATTGTATCTCGATTTAAGCCAGGGCGAGGTGAATTTTGTCAAATTGATGACAGTTGCAGGGGTATCTACAAGGTTGCTCAGTATACGTAGGGCGAAGCGACCGCAGCAGGAGTCTGGGCAGTAAATTCCGTCGCATTGCCGATCATGAGCAGTCCCACTATGATGATCGTCAATGAAAAGGCTTCGAAAGAGTCGAGAAATGCGTGTAACAACGTACCGATCAGTCCGAAGAGGCCCATAATACTGCCAAAAACCTCGACCACGAGGATTTTGACAAACAAATTCGGATCCGCAGCGTCTGCAAGGGCAGCGGTAGAGCCGGTGATACCCACTGATACACCGCACAGAAGGTTGCATATGCCAACAGTTAATCCACCCCAGAAGAGCGCGAAGCCTGGCGCAGCCCATGTTTAGTCCATGAAAAACCACAGTAATGAGAGAGTATACCGGTGAAGTAGTTCTCCCTGGTATATAGCTGACTGTCTGGTACAGCCTGTAACTTGGCCGCATATACGATACCCATGATCTGCGATGGAGAAGTTGACGAGAGTCCAAACAACGAGGCATTGGGGCCACTTACTACTCCGTAGATCGCAACAACTTCGCAGAAGATGATACTGCAAGACAACGCGTGAATAGATAGTATAAGATATGTAGCTCCTACGGACCTGATTAGGTTCTTCGTGCTTATTCGTGGCGTTCTGACACCACCTCCGAGTATAGAAGCACCCGTCAAGAAAATGCCCCTAGTAAAATTGAAATTTGATGCAAGATTTCAAGGCAACAAAAACGCCCACCATCCAGCACCAAGAACACTCAAACCTATGCACAAACCAATACCCACTGACCCCCACATGAAAGGACTACTTTCCTCCAAGAAACGACCGACATTGAATGCCTCCCCCGAGTCTACAGCATGTTAGTTGTGCCGTTCTGATAGCATATAGTCCCACATACCCGTAAAAAGCAGATAAAGTGCGATGACTACGACCAGAAATGAAGGGAGCCCAAAGGCATAGTAATTCGAATATAGACCCATGGCTTTGCTGTTCAGAGTTTCTTTGCGCCGCTTTCGGTTCCAAGGCCAAAGTCCATTGTTTGTAACCCGTTGGTTTGTGGCGGGTCATCGCTTTGCCATGTACCATTTACTCAAAGGCTTTCATGAATATCTTACGAGGTGAGTTTTTGGCTCTACAGTTGCTTGGACTTTTCTGAGGTATGCAGGAAGGAAGAGTTCTCGATAATTATTGTTGGCTTGGATGGGGCTGGCAAAACAGTATGCTGTAGTCACATCTCTGAAGAAATACAAAGCTAACTTCAGCAAACATGACAGACCCTTCTAGAGAAAATAAAGACGCTATATAATGACACTCCAGGTCTTGATCCCTCTAAAATAGGTCCAACGGTTGGCCAGAACAGTGCGCTAACATACTCTTTTTATCTCTTGACGTCTCTCTGACTTTCAATAAAGTGGGCAAGATTTCCCTTCCTTCTACAGTTCTTCAATTCTGGGATCTGGGTGGTCAGCGAGGGATTCGATCTATCTGGCACAGGTATTATGACGATTGTCACGCTCTCGCCTATGTTATAGATGCTCAGGACCGCGAGCGGCTCAGCGAAGGCTGGGAGGTATTCGGTACGCTCCCCTCCTCCCTTGCCACCCAAAGCTGATCATGTACCCTGGGGAAGCACACTAGACTCCGTGCTCTCCGCTCCCCAAATCCTTGGCATTCCGCTTTTACTTCTTGCCAATAAGCAAGACAGTCCAGACAGCCTATCGGTGGAGGACATACGGCATGACTATGAAGAGTGGCACCAGCGTCGCCTCGAGAGTTCGCGCAGGCGGTATGGTGAAGATGACGATACCGAGCAACGTCGACAACGCATCGCAAGTCTTAACGTCATAGGCATTTCGGCACTGGAAGGGTGAGCACTGCTGACTATTTTTTGATGCATAATACTAATACGCGCTTTGTCCTTGAAGGCACGGAGTTCGAGCTGCGGTTGATTGGCTATTCATTCGTGTCCAAAATAGTAGAAGGTAAGCGGCTTGAACGTTTCTATCCTAAATGGTTACATGTTACCACATCCCACAGGGAAGGGAACGGACGGTAGAAGGCGTCTAGTAACCTTTCAGATATGCATGCAAGTACAATAATCCCGCATGTTATCTGGATTTTATGTTTCAATACACACGACACACTAATTTATGCGGTTTCTCCATCACCGTCGTATGTCTAAGAGTGCACCCTGCAACCTTAACCCCCAAGATAGCTCTCATCACTTACAACGCAGCCCGCATTTAGTACCTTTGGCAATGGATTGCGGTCCCATCGCTGAGCAAGATTGAGACCGGCAACAGGCTCCACGGCAAATCAAGTCAAATATGTGCGCGAGCGCTGCAGCCAAGAACTGGTACAACTCCCGGGCCACCATGGCACCAGTGCCCGTGTGTGAATGAGGACGACCTGTACACATGAAGCTAGGTCCTCGTACACTTTCTGCCCGTTCTTGTCATCCTTGCGCGACCGCGGATCCAGCCACTGATGCTTTTCCTCCCCCTTCCCTCGAATAAGTCGTGGGATACCACAGCAATGTCCCTGAGTGTCAAGCAAAAGGAAGATGTAGATGTCTGCCAAAGCCCGATGCACAGGAACAGAGCGGCGCATAACAAGATACGATCAATACCATGATAGAAGTCAAAAGAACATTTCTCGAGGGTCCAGAAATAGACAGCGAGAGCCCTGATGGTTGTAAGATATACGTGTATGATTGTATTCAGCGTTGCATTTTGTCAACATTCCGAGAAGGTATAATTTGCTAATAACACGCACGCACACCTCCTTTCTAGAAGGCCGTGTCGTACATCATCTTGACGTATTACGAGCCACAATGGAGAAATCCAGAGAAAAAACCGAATGAGGATATTATACTCGGACAACAGAGTAGAGAGCGAACTCCGCACTTCCAAGATGCGCTTCTAGTCATTTCCCACTTCTACACGTCAGGAAACGAGAGAACTCAGTATATCAATCCGGACCGCGGGGCTTCTCTGAAGCGGGGAAGTGAACTTGGTTCGGCCTAGGGAATAGTCAATACTAAAATATGGATGACATGAATGCCGCCTAGCTCGGACCTACTTACCTCGGGTGGTTCCTCCAAACAGCGCCCTAACGTGCCTGCTCACGGTAGCCTTATCCACGCGTTAAGTTTAGGGCTTGGGCGACCTGAGATTTTGTATCAAGTAGTTGACCAACTCAAAGGTGTTCTTGCTCCGTGGATAACAGCATGGATAAAGCATGGCGGCCCGTTTCGCATCCATAGTGATGCAAAGCAACCGTGCCCGGGCCGCCTGACCCGCTCGATGTACGTCCTTGCTCTAGTCCACAACCTATTACCCTCGTACTGCCAAATTTCTCGTGGAAAGGTTTTTACTCCGTGGTTTCTCGCTCTTGCGTGGGTACGCGACGGATAAAGAGCTTCATCTCGGGCGATGGTTCAAGCTGCGCGGTACGCACGATGCGGTTTTCCCCTCCATTTTCGTCAAAGTCGTAGCTTGAAGAAACACGATCGTGCTTCACTGGCGTACGCGGAGAGGTAGATATCTCGCGTAGCGGTATGGAATATCCTCGCGGACTTGTAGGTGAGAGGTTGATCTCGTGCGGTGGCGTTGATTTGCTTATGCCAGAAACTGGCATTTTACCTCGTAGACCTTCTTTCCTGGATGATGAATGCAATATGGACCCAGATCCTACCTCGTCAAGTTCGTGCTCTTCCTCGCTTGTGGTAGAACTACCGGAATCGAGAGAAAGACGAGCTGGAATCGACGCGATGAGCGAAGATAGCGTTGGTATGCGTGGAATATTGATAGGAGGGGAGGGCGTGGTATTTGCACCACTAGAAATTGGCGGTGTGCTCGGGGGAATACTGCTGCTAGTAGATGGCGGAAAGAACGAAAGTGAGGATGCAGGTACGTGACGGATCGCGTCCACACGGGAATTAGAATTCGTATTTTTGCGCAAGTTATCAACAGGTATGTAGAGTTTTGTACGCAAGTGAATTGGGTCAGCGGTCCATAGATGATTTGCTCGACGAAGCGCGGCAAGAGATACTCCGTAGCGAAGGGCAACACCAGGGAGAGAATCATTCGGTACAACCTACGCATAGCATATAGTCAGTTAGCTATCGAAAGCAAGTTTCAAAAACTCGACAATGACACAGTATTACTTACGCGGTGCACAATCACGGCTGTCTCGTGTTCCATGTCGGGAATAGCACTGGCATAAGATACTTCATTGTGAGGCGGGGATGTCGAGCCCCGCAGATGTTGGCTTGGATGTCTAGGATTGTTTCTAATTGTGAGTTCTTGAGTGGTGGTAGAGTCGGAATCGTTGAGCGCAGATTGGGAGAGTAAGCGAGTAAGGCGCGGGCGCGTAACGCCGTCGGTAGTGCTCGTACTAGCGACACTACTGATGTAAGGATTGGAGGATTTAGATGAAATTGATGGGCTTCGAAGAGGATGAAAAGTGCTAGTGGCTGTATGGCTTTCTGTGCCGTTGAGATGAACATGGTTATCCGAGACCCAAGCGTGCTCAATCAGGCTCTCGTGGACATTGTCTTCGGTGAGAGAAGTCAGATATCGAGAGATAACGGCGCATATAACAAAGTAATACCTGATATCAAATGTATCTCGTCCTGGAAATTCTGTGTTTCTTCCTCGTTAATAGTAGAGGAGCCAAGGCTTGTACTATTGAACCAGTGGTCTGTGAATGCGTCCATATCCTGGTCATCGAGGTAACCATTTGAGATGGGGGCATTATTCTCGTCGTCGTTACCGCTCTCGACATGACTGTGGTTTAAGGACAAGCGAGGCGGGGCGGAGTCATCCTCGTAGGGCATGCAGCGCCGAGTTGTCTAGTGTGATCGTCCTTTGGACAAGTCTTGGCTGGTGAGACGAGACCAACACAGAACCCTAACCCTACACCCCATTGTGGCGAAGACAATGGGGAAAATGCACAGGAAGCTCGACAATGGCCCTTCTACCACAATCCATGTATCTCCAAACCTCTCGATATCAAAAGGGGGGATGAATGTCACCTGCAATGTTCTCGATACAAAACGTACGGTCCTTTCGTTTTTCATATGAAAATCAAAGAAAATCAAATATTCCCACAGTATACAACTTACCAAATATGGTAAATACAGGAAGCACTTGTAAAGACTTTGGATCAATGCTACCGGATGGATGTGAAAGTAAAAAAAGAGAATGGTGTACTGCAGTACGCATGAAAAGAGAAGAATATATAGAAAAATCGCATAAACATGGAACAAGAGACAGCTACGCTACATATACAGCCAATGCTATGACGAATGAATTCGGCATTTTGATGATATCAAGAAAGAGGTAGTCAGATAAATCGAGAAATACCCTTGATCCCAAAAATACGTAGTCATGTCCATGCCAGCTCCTTTACTTTCCTGTAACTCCAGCATCACCGTCCTCACGCCGCCTCACCGGTTGTTGCTGTTGCTGTGCGCCAGCTCCTGTAACTCCTACGACGAGACCCTTCAACCAACCGTTCTCCCTCCTGAGTCCCTCGCATTCTCTCTCTAGCTCTGAAACACGACCTTCCAGCTCTTTTGCGCGCTGCTCCAAGGCAGCCTCTCTCTCCTTCTTCTTCAATCTAAAGCGCGCAGATGCGGCGGTGTTCCTACGGCGCTTGTCCTCCGATGCTGACATCGGTGCTGCGCCGCTTGAAGAACCATCCGTGTATGCCCCCGTAGTTGATGCCTCAGGGGAAGCAGGTTCAGAGTTATCTAGGAATGACACCGAGTTTTTGCGTGTGCGAGCACGCTTGGTAGGTGGAGCAGCGGGAACAGGGTGTGGTGGGTGAGCAGCCGCAGTACTATCCCCAGAGGGGAGCTGCTGCTGAATCAGTGGGTATGCATTAGTCTGAGCGGCATGTAAAGCGAGTAACTGAGCAAGAGTAGGAGCAGTAGCTGACTGTGGGTGCGACTGTGGCGGTGCTGGTTGCGATTGGGTATTGAGTTGCGCCGAAGGCAAAAGGTAAGGGTCGATACCAAACCCAGAGAGCAGAGCATTTAGGTCAAATTGGGACGCAGGGGCGCCTTGCGGGTGTACGACGTTTTCATGGCCGTCGTGTGATGCAAGACCCGCTGGATCTTCCTCCTCCAACTCTTGCTCCTCCTGCGACGCCGATAATTTTCTCTTTCCTTTTCCAGCACTTGAATAGTCCAGAGGCTCATCAGATTCGAAAGCGAGGTTAGTCCATAGATCAAGCTGGGCTGTGAAATCAGAAAAGGGGGGCGCTGATAGTAAATCTTGCGCGTCAGAGACAGGGGCAGCTGGCGGGGCAGCGTGGACAACGTTGAGGCCCTGTAAATTTGGCTGTGGCATTGCTGCTTGGTCTTGAGGATGGCCTTGGGTAGAGGCTTAACGCCCGACGTGTGCTGGAGGAATTGGAGGAACGAAATGAAAGTCAAATGTGGTGTTAGATTAGATTTTTCTTGTTTCTGCTGACTGATCTTTCGGCCTGTCTGACAAAGCTCGGTGTCGGATCAGCCGGTCCCTGATACCCGAACAAAGAACAATGATTCACATGACCGACCCTGTATGGCGTGCCTCTAGTTACAGTTTCACAACCCAGTGTTTTGTAGCCCTTACAGCGTGCTAAAAGACAGACGTATAATTCTTTGGAGGGGGGAAATATATCACTTTGACTCGTATTCTTATTCTACGCTTTTTGTGCAAGTGGGTGACCCAAATCGATTGGTGTACGGTGCTATCTTCAGCCAAGATGACCACCAGATGGCGCAATCGAGATAATCTCCAACATGTACCTTAGCCGAGCACTATCCAATCGTGAACGGCCTTCACTCAATTAGCTCAAAAGCGTTCGCGCATGATATCCACTCATATCGGATGCTACCTAAAATGGCCCCTTGTGGCTGACGCTGAGCGGTCTGACAACAGTCTCCTCGCCTGCAATAGGTCGGACTGGTTTATCTGGGCGCCAGTTTGGACCGAAGCGACCGCCAGTGCTCGAGTTGCATCGCTTTAAACGACTATGCTTGATGTCGTTGTCCTGCATGAAGCGACCAAGACAGCAGACATAAATCATCCGTAGGAATAGAACGCCTGCGCAGCGCATTGTTCGACATGGTGGGTGCTAGTAAACTGTTAGCTCTGTAAAGTTAGGGGGGCTTCTCCGGACAGATAGGAGAATTTCCAGGAGCAGCGCATCCGGTGCACGACCCTGACTCTACTGCATCCTTCACAAGTCTGACGTGAGAGCGTCAAGACCCGTGACAGGGGTAGAAGATATCGCACGAGAGGTACGGGCAAAGTCGGACGATTACTGCTGCCCAACTGCTGGCACCAACGTGCCAGCGATCGCCCAGGACAACAGATAAAACTTCGAAGAGCGCCATTAACCTGTACAAGCCTTATTAGTACCCGAGAAAGGCATGTTTTAGTACTATCACAAGTGGGGGATATAAGTGAACACTCACTGGCACGTGCGACGAGGGAACCACGTTGTAGCATGGCATACGTGGCACACAATCTCTAGAAGCCATACCGTTAGTAATGAACTAAAGGATCGGCAAGGGTAAGTCAAGGCCAGCAAAAGATCAAAAGGAAAAGCCAAACCGTACAAAGTACACTGACGCAAGGCCATTTTATATGTGACGGTACAAATGATGTACGTCTAACGTCGCGCCATCTTGCTCCAATCGCGAGCATTGTTATTCGTGCAAATTAGCGCATGAACTTTACGGAAGTGGCACAAATATGGCGTGATAGTTGAAAGAAGAACGTGAGATGACGGTCCTCGTAGTCACGATGTTCCTTATCATTAGCGGATGGAGGACTTACACTCAGGACTGTGAACGCACTTGTGAATTTGCAATTATGCTCTTAGTATTATCCCTAGAATCTGGCACACTGAACTTCGGGGGCCGTCAAATGCTCCCCCCTATTATTCGTCGCTGATAAAAATGAGACGTAGTGCACGGCTATGGATGATACAGCATTATTCTTCCAACTTGATGCCAGAGTGTTGCAGACGGGCGCAATGCCAAGTTCCACGATTACTTATATCAGTTGCGAACATCTAAGCAGAATTGACAAAAAAAAATCAGCTAAAATGCGTCATCTTGGATAAAGGTTGACGGATTGTAAGTGAGGCAGATATTTGAACAAAAGAATGAATGCGGGCAAACAATATTTGCATTCGATTACCGAAATGTTGGTATGTTGGCATGTTGACCAGCCACAGTGCTGACTCATCAACATTTCTACCCGCTCGCCTGGGCGGCTTGGCTTTCAGAACGTTTGAACATCCATTTCGAATTGTTCCTTTGGATCCTGTCGCTTAGCGTGGCTCTTTTCGCTGGACAATTATAATTTACCATGTAAAGTGCCATCATCACCTCCCGCCAAGGAAAACCCTTAGGTCTTAACCATTAATATTTAGGGTGCAGGTGACATACTTGAGTACGCAGTATACTGCATACTAGTACAAGTGAGTTAAAGTTATGCCTTCTGAATTTCAACTAGCTATATAATGATTCTTTTAGATCTAGAATCGGTCGCACTCTATGATTGTAATTCCAAGATGAATTTGCTCAGTCATGAGTTTACTAACTGGAAAGGCTTCGTAACGGTTCAGTCGGCAAGGCAGCGTTTGCAATAGAATGTATCGCCAAGAATAATATTTCTATACGAATGATGACAGCAAGGCAGGATGCTAATGTAGCATAGCGATTTCTATCTGTCGCTCTAAGCGCAAAGCCTTGCGTCACTTCAAATGAAATGTCAATGCTTCACCCGCTTGCCACACCGAGAAGAGAGTTCAGCCGCATATCCTCCCGATTCGTTGTTGAAAACCATCATGCTAGTACCCAATCGCGAGCACTGAACTTTAAAGGCTCACCCGCTTTTTCACGTTAGGCTATTTTCAATTCATAAATCACAGTCCCTCCATCAACCCTGATACTCAGGTTGAAGTGCCAATCCCCTAAGGCCTTTTTTGCTATTATGCAAGATCATTTACAGAATCTTCGCCTCATTTCCGCAAGCATGATCCATTTACGTTGCATTTTCCTGATTATGCTACTTAATCTCCGTCAGCCAAATGGTCATTGGTACGTACGAATCCACATGGCTTAAACAGCGTGGTAGGTATGCGGCTAGTGATCATCGATTATGAACGCGACAAGTCGTTGACAGTTTTGTTTAAGATAGAAGCCCACCCTTGGGCTCGGCGATACGAATTGGACCAATTAGGTCTTCTCAGACCATGTCCTCGCTGCATCATCCAATCATGGTTCCAGTCTCGCATGGGCCACATGTGCATAGCTCCTCAGGTCAGTTTTGCAAATCCCTGACCTTGTTTCTCGAAAAAATTCTGACAGCATGGCACAGCGAACATAGAAGCTGCAGAGCGTGTGTTACTGGAGAGACAGACGACTTCTTTGACTTCGAAATTTGATATGCACTCGAGTCACCAATGAGCGGTGATTTATTGTCGCACGGGTGAGCCGTTCAACATTAAAGTGACCTTGTGCTCGACAAGTCTGCTGAGCAATTTCCGCAATCTCGTGATCATTTTCGCAGACAGCTTTACGAAGTCTCGGGGTTCCACAGACAGGTCCTATATAAGGTTGAAATTCTTGCGAGTGGAGGCTTCAGATTTCCCTTGAATCAATCCAGGACTTCATCTGTTCTTTGTAAGTGTCTGACTTGCGCTGTAATGTGTCACTTAGAGACGACCGTCGTTCACGTTCAGAACCCAACACTTACACGACATGGCCGGTGATTCCAAAGACCAATGTGGATGTAACGCAACGTAAGCACGCTATATGATACTCTTACCTCCGCCTCCTATGTTTAATCATGCCATAAACGACCAGTTGCTCCTGCAAAAACGGCAGCTGCGACTGCAAGTAAAGAAGCGTCCATCCTACTAAATTTTGCCACACACATTGACCCCGCTGATCGGAGAGCTTTGTGGGTGTTTATAACAGGGGCAAGTTCTGATTCTGATACTGAATTGCTGGACAGGATCACTGTTGTTCTCATTATGCCGACAAAGTTGTACGATGATGATATGAGAGATGTTTTTTGAGGTTCCAAATGTGTTTCCATGACCTCGCCTGGTCATTCAGTTATCGATAACCCGAGAACTATTTTGGGATGGTCCTATTCATAATTCTGTAAACTGCGACGAATGCGCAACTCTGGCCTGTTTGACTCGCCTTCTGAACTTCTTCATTCTCATCGATATCAAAGATATTGCCGACCCGGGACTTCCTTGCAGTGGTTTCGGTGGCATGACCTGCCGCATGCACCTAACCGATCAATGAGTACTTCTCCGAACCCCTTTGATTCCCTCGGTGAAACGTTTAGCAGAATTGCAGGTTAGATATATCTCTGATTGATACTACACAGACGCATTATGTCATAGAACTGTTCAAGTTCACCATAATCATCCATTGGAGAGCGCGCGGACCATTGAGACAGCGATGCCCTGAGCTTTGATATTATAATTTGTTCCACTACAGGCATTTTACAGGTACAAGATAACGTCCCGTTGGACGCGTGGTATGATGCATGTTGTGTGGAGGATTGTACAATTGTGTCGTCTGAAGAAACTCGCCATCATGATTGTGAGAAGTCTTCCATACGGATTAAAAACCTTTCCCATAGCCCCCCTTCTCGAAGAATGCTTCAATTCTCTTTACGATCGTATCCAGTCCGGCGAGCCATTCGTTGAGCTCTTCGTGAAGCTTGGCTTCCGGCACAGACGGTCCGCCCTGAGGGTCGGCTGCAAGTTTAGCATAGAAGTCCTTACGGTATGGACACGCTTTCATGGCAACCTGATCATCGATGAACACGATAACTCTAGTCAGTCTCTGGCTAACGGGCGGCTAAAACACAGCTGTGCGCACCGAAAATATACTCTTCACCACAAAGTTGTGGAACTTCTTCAAGGAATCTTCGTAACCCTTCGTAAAGGCGGCTACCAGCTCGTGATTCTGATTCGCTTGTGCGTTTTGCAGCGCTTTGCATGTGAACGAGAGACCGCGGATGAGCCACATGAGACCCTCGGTAGCTGTCCGTTTCTTCTCGCCTTGCTCATTCTTGACTAGCTCTTCCAGCGTAACGGATTGGGCTGGCGCTGCATCATAGCGAGCACGGACTTTCTTATGAACCAGAACGTTAAGAATTCGCACGCGAGCCAGTACCGAGGATGACTCACAGTGATGTTGCCTTTGATATCAGATTGTACCACCGCGAAGGCTGTTGATCCAAGAAGATCTGAAACACGAAAGATATTAGGGATAGACACAATGGAAGCGGACTGTATGCTACCAAACAGGCCCACCAAGCCTGTTGCTGCTTCCAAGAAAGCTAAGGTGTCGACGCCAGCGTCGGTAATGGGAACATCGGCAAATGACTGGCGTGTATTTTTTCAGTATCTGATGCATGTTTTCAGTTTAGCAGAACTTACCTTGACAGATTCGAGGAAGGGTGCCATTGTAGAGACAGGTAGAGGAAAGGTTTAATCCAAACTGTGGTTGAGTGATGGTTACAGATACGGCAAATCCCGTTATCTTATCTTATCAGTGGATACGCTATTCACAATTTGCCGTCATAGTTCTTTCATATACCGCGAAAGCGATTAGGCCAGTGATTTATTAGTGATTTATTGTCAGCCAGGTAGGGCTTAGTCGGCGTTGCAATGCCCCATGCAGATTCATCCCTCGTCCCCTCGTCAATCACATCCAAAACCGAGTTTTGGGCCCATGTACACGGCCAATTGGCCTCTCTTTTAAGCGGGCAGAGACACTGGGTAAGATGCCCCCCTCAATATACTTGTTTTGGATGAGGCTTATACTTCATTTGACCACTTCAAGGTCACTAATCTAGCCAACGCTTCGTCTATGGTCTATAGTTCCCTCCTTGCATTCACAGCCCATTTCGGAAGTGGGAGCCAGGCTGTCAACTGGTGTGGTGAGTTTCCGTCACATCTCCACCTTCTGCCCATCAACCACGCTTCCGTGTCTTTCTGGGCCCCATTTCTTATGAGAGGAGAAGCCATGTCATGAATAATCAGGACCAATGGTAATCTCCGAGTTGCAGAACCGCCACTCATCAATCTCGCCTTCCATCTCGTTATGATACGACAATTGCTGATTGTAATCAATGTGCTCTCACAGGATTTTACCTCAATTCTTCGCTCTTCCCTGTCCCACGTTTTTTGGGACAAGATGGAAGTGATAACAACTCGGCAGCTGCTGATGCCAGCAGACTGCTGTTAGGTCCGTTTTGCGGGAAACCAGCATGCCAGTTCATCAACATCTCTCCCGGGAAAGCCCGCGGTGTCTGTGCGGATGCATACCTGCAGCGTAGAACTATTCTCGTACCCGAAGTCGACCTTTATCCGGGACATATCGCTTGCGATGGAGAAACAAAAAGCGAGATTGTTTGTCCGCTAATATTCAAGAAGGGGGACAAAGAAATAATGCTAGGCGTATTGGACCTGGACTGCCTTGCAGTATCGGGCTTTTGCGAAGAAGATAAGGAAGGCTTGGAAAAGATTGCAGCATTAGTGGTCAGCGCTTGCGATTGGTGACACTGAATCTTGTAGAATATTCGCTATATATGTCGATCTGATAACCAGAATTATCGGACTATCCAGTTAACTGGGAAAATATCAAATTCACTGTTCTCCCTCTTCTTGCCATCGCAAGAATTCAGCGTGCAACTTTTTCTGCATATCCCACTCCTTCTGTACCTTCTTCTGTTGATTCTTGCTTAGTTCCTTACCATCCCCGTCAGCAGTGGGCATGCCTAGCTCATTCCAGCTACTGTACGTCCCTTCTGGCACATTTGGCGGTTTAAAGAACTCTTCAGGAGATACACGACCCTTTTCAAGTTTTGCGATGCGCTTTTGCCGATCTGCCTCAACTTTGGCAGCTTTCGCCACAGCCTTCGCTTCAGCCTGCAATCGCTTTTCTTCTCGGGCCTTTATTAGTTCACCAGGTGGCACAAGCTTTACTAGAGCCTTGCCGTCTGACGAGGCATTGGCCGAAATAATGGTGAGAATAACGGTGAGAATATTGAAAGAGATATGAACGTACCTTCTTGGTCGTCCAAAGCTACCCCTAATGGTACCAGATCTTCATCTCGAAGTCTGTCACAAAGGGATAATATATCTTTCAATGCCGTATCGCCTTTGGCTATTGCGAGTCGTCGAATGCCATCTCGGAAGGAAGACAAGGAACGCAGATAAGGCATCAGAATCTCTTCCCTCTGCCATTTAAGTTTATGAAGTTAGCATGGAGCATTTGTCTGAAGAACCGGAAGGACTGACATTTGCGGATATCCCTTGTTCTCCCTCCTGTCCCCATCCAATCTCCGACTTCTCGCCCTCGCCCAAACCAAACATGCGCAGCATTCGACCAACCCAGCTGGCCACATGTTCAACTATGCCGATGTTTAAATTTTTCCCGCGAGAATTTATATAAACGTTGGTCCGTGAGACGAGTTCACGGAGAACATTGAGCGCTGCCGGAGTATTGAAGGAATCGCAAAGTGCTTCACGGAAGGCCGATTGGCTGTCATGGAAGCTGGAAGGAACGGTCAGTAAAAAAACATAAACACGGCGGATGCGGAACATCAATCACCTGCTGGTGAATCCTTGCTCCACGTCTTCGTAATGGTGTTGGCCATCAGACCGATCACCGCCTGCCCGAGACTGACTTATCAGAGCCTTGACTGTAGTGAAGAAGTTCTGATTCCCAGATGAAAATACAAGATTTATCGCACAATCAGCCATGCAACAAAGACACTTACGTTTAAGGTCATTTCCACATTCTTCACTTCGCCCGACATCAGCGACTCGGAGAAGTCAATTTTAGCATTCCATAGCTGAGACAAGAAGGCGAGGCGCAGCTGACGAGCGGTGTATCTTTGGAGAATTTCCTACCAATACGTATAAGCCACAATCAGGAATGTACTCGATATTACCTACGTCAATTGTTATGAAATTTTTCAAAGATTTACTCATTTTGAGTCCTTCGATATGTAGATGACCCGTGTGAATGAAATAGTTAACCCAAGATCCACAATTATGGTAAGCCTAGAGAGTTCTGTTCGCTGAGTGTACAGCATGCGTAATGATTATGTACTGACCTCAGATTGGGCCATCTCGTTGTCATGATGGGGAAATGCAAGGTCTATACCACCAGAGTGGATGTCCATATTATCTCCAAATACGGCACTGGCCATAACAGAGCACTCAATGTGCCAGCCAGGGCGTCCTGCGCCCCATGGGGAAGGCCAAGAAGGTTCACCAGGTTTTGATGCCTTCCAAAGAGCAAAGTCGGAAGCAGACCGCTGAGTCCGTGAAGACAAAGCACCTGAAGTCCAATAAGGCCGTCGTTATATAGTCAGAGGATAAACATATAGGTATACCTTCTCCCTCTTCTAGCAATTCCCTGTTTCCCTTACTCCATGGTTCCAACTTTGCGTAATCGTGTCCTTCTGATGTATCAAATGCACTGGTATCAAAATAGACGCTTCCCTCGTGTTCATAGCCGTATCCATTTTTGATTATGCCGTGAACGAAATCCACCACTTCGGGCACGTACTCGGTCACACGAGTGACAGTGTCTGGTTCGCGTACACGAAGTCGCTCCATGTCGCTGAAAAACTGTCCTTCCCAGTAGGCGGCAAGAGACCTGAAAATAGACGGATCTGTGACTGTGGATTTATACTATAATGACGTGATTCAGCGACCATAAAAGTGTTATCGCAGTAAAAATATCGTACTGACCTTTTCATCCAAAGAAACAGCCAGGATATCACGAGACTCCTCAAGTAACTGATGAGTGACGTCCTGGCCCACACAATTAGAGCGGAGAAGTCCTTCAGCGACTTGCACTGCAGAATAGGCCTTGTTCTACAGCAGGCTGTAATTTAATCCGTGTGTGAGCTGATAGAAAGGACAGAATTTACCGCAGCTGAGAAATGCATATCGAACTTTTCATCTCGCTTCAAGCATTCTTGTTTCCAGGCCTTGTCCTTGAAAAGATCTGCTAAACGAGGCCACGACTTTGCTTCATCTCCATTGCTTGGCCGCTCACTCTCCGGTAGACCCTTGCTGATCTTCTCATGGACATATATTGACCAAGCCTCTTGGATTTGCGCGATTAGTTCGGGTGAAAGTGAGGTGGTTTCTGAACGAAATTTATTAAAAAGATGATTCTGGCGTGCTCTTAATATGATCTTAGATCGCAGATGTTAACACTTGAGCAAGACTGACAATACAACTTCGCATTCAGCAAGCTGACATACCTTGTCGTCGATGTCGGTGACATTTTGCACAAAGTGTACATCATATCCAAAGTAATCGGTCATTATTCTTCGCAGTATATCCTGTGTAACATAATTTCTGATGATCGTCGTATGCTGCATGCTCGTCTGTCTGATGAATCTGGATCTCACCTCGCGTGGCCCATGTGGGATGCATCGTAGACGGTAGGACCGCAGTTGTACCACTTTACGCGACGACCATCCCTTGGGATGAACTCCGTCTGGTTCGAAATACATCAGATGTTTCGCTGGAGATCGGTAGTCCAATCAGCAACGCACGAACCTTGGTCTTTGTGAGGGAATTGTACAGTTTTAAGACAGGTTCATCCGTTTTTCTTGATGGAAGAGACCAAGGCGGCTGCTGGACGGACATTTGGGTATTTCCTTGCGTACAGAGGGACCTGCTGTTCCTAGGAAAGCAATTAAGAGCACGCAAAGCCACACTGACTCGAGTCCGGATGATCATGCAAAATAAGAAAGACTCGGCGAAGAACACGCGCCGCGGCCGAATAATACGATTATGTAATATATGATTTTTGTAGTATCTAATTTCCAAGTCAGCGCTTAATAGTTAATTGATTTTTACTGACTTTTTAGCACATGAAGCATTTTAAGCTTGGACGTTGCAATGTCCTTTGTCTTGGATCTCTTTCAATTGCATAACCTTGCGATTATTCTCGCGGTTACAAGATATCATGATGTGTTCCTGTCCCATCTAAAACCTGTGCACTTTTTAGCGCTCGTCAACGCTTTAACACTTGAACCCTTGATTATCAGTATGAGGACCCATTCTATGGACCTCTCCGTTTCTGCAGCCGCTCCTGTGCTGTCCATCTATCCGCGAGTCTCCGAATCAAATATCTCATCAACGCTAGGGATCTCTGCGTACTTGGTGGAAATCGCTGAAGCCAATCGTCTGACCGTTGCTCACACGACTTCACCTACTACTAACTCCGACGTCTACACCAACATACGAATGTGACACGACATCTCGGCTGCCTACACGATTTACCTTGCGATGCTCAAAGATGCTCAACAACGCATACATTTTGTTCTCATCGTCTAGCGCTTTATTTGACCGGCGTAAACACGATCTTGCACGGGTGCAGATACAGCATGGCCCGCTCTAATGTCGATTCTCGTCAAAGAGACAGCAAGGACGGTCCGTCATTCAAAATTCAAATGTATTACACGCTGACGATGTTTCTCTGCCGTGCAGCATCGGGCATGCTTAACACGTACCGCCGGGTGACAGGTCCATCCATTGGCGACCTCGTACCATGTGGATCATGACCTCCGCGTCGGGGAGGCTCCCCAGCAGTAATGTCTGTCAATGAACGGGGATGATTGTACTTCTTGGGAAGCAAGTCTATTGATCGGCAATTACCTGGTTGGAGGGATCAATACGCCACCAACACAATTTGACCCGTGTCCTACCACCCATAAAACGTATTCGCATATCTCACATGTTTTTAACACACTACACGCTCAGATAAGTTGGGAATTTTCGCAGCTCCACTGAATCACTGCTGCGATGGAAAGGAGTTGGGGATCATACGGATGCGCCTACTTCCGAATGCCGTGGCACAGACATTGCACAGGCTTTCGGTAACGTGTTCACGCGGACAATATCAATCACTCCCAACGGCATCGTTCTTCGAGAAGATTTCGCCTTGTACTTCTGAGCCTCTGAGCCTCTACCCTTCTTGGTACTCAGTATGGGAAAGCCCCAGAACTTGCTTTAGGGTCCGATCCACTTCATTCCATGCCATTATGGTGAACCGAACAGTAGTTCTCGGGGGCAACGTTACTGCCATTCTTGATGCATGATGCTGTGTGGGATATGCTTCAGGTGGATTGATTGATCAGTCAGTATATAAAGTTTATGGTTTGACGTTGGTGCGCATAATTTGATATTCTGAAATATGTACAGCTATTCACTAAACCAATCATGGAGACAAAGCATTACAATCTTTTGCTTATTAGGATATGTGGATGCTCATTCAAGGCGTTCTCTACCGCTGAGCCGTCGGGCTAGTGCTTGACGCTCAGCGTTCGCCGCGTGTGTGGGTTCAATTTCCATCTGAGAAATCATCGTGTTGTACCGGCGGATGCGATATCAATGAAGCATATGGATCGCCTGCCAGGTTTCGTGGAGGAGGGCAAGTAACCCTGGAGTATCAAATGTGTCAAGGCCTTTCCATATCCGCGGGCGCCGACAGACTGGCGACAATGCAAAAGCGTATTTGAAGAAATGCCAAGTATACCTGCGGCATGCGTCCAGCGGGGCAGACCGCGATGGGGAGAGGACAGTTAGCCAAGTTGCCACTGGCCAGTGAGTAACATGGCACCTTCCGCGATCGCCCGCAGGATGAGGAAGCAAGGACGGGGAGGCAGCAGCCTATCAAGAGAGAGCCATTAATACTAGAGATGTCGAGCGCCCTTTTCTATTCTAATATTAGTGGGAATATAGGGAAAAGGACGAAGAGGAATGCCGTAGCGAGGCGGCAATATGGACAAATATGGGATGGTAAAAGGTATATAGTTGTGAAAGCGAAGCTCTGAGCTATGTAACGCCTAATAGACTGTGGTACGCGCCAGGCGAGAACAGGCAAGGCTAGGCGGCCGTACGGCATGGGAATGCTGTGAAATGGACAATTGCTTTCCTAGAGCACCGCACTCTCACACTGGGATGGAGAGAACAGAATCTGCAATCATATCGTCAGGTACATGAGCTTTCGAGTGTAGGAACGATGTTTTACCCATCGCTGCTCCTTTTGCGGTTATATGTGTTGTTCGCCTCGTCAGTGCTGTGTTCGCCGTGTGTTCCGCATACGTCCATAACGAAATGCTATGGGACCACTAAAACTCTATTGCCCATTTTCATCCTCTCCCTGGGCGTTAACGTTTATAATTGTTTTCTTTTCCCATCAGGCCTCAACCGACAAGCATCAGCCGTTTACATCACTCAGAGTTAAGGTTATCGAGCTCTCGTTACCTTTAATTCCAATGTATATAAGCCCCATTCCTCTATCATGCTCCTCCCTGTCTTTCTTTCGCTCCTCCTCCCACATCCCGCCCCCTACAAACCGCCCCAATCAACTACCGGGTCCCAATCTGCACTGCTGCCATACCACTCTACTTCTACAGGTCGCCCTTGACAGCATCCCGCCACCCTCGTCCTTACCTCCACCTTCCTGCTGTCACCAATGCAGCATCCAACCTGTACCAGACTTCGTGTAAGGTGTGTATCGTGTCCCTGCATCTCGCACAAACACTCACTCGTTTCCTCGTCAGGACGCCCCAGGATGCCCAGGTCATATTTCACGCCGTCTCACTCAACATACTGCCCATGGTCACGAGGCGCCTCGACACCGAAGAGCGACGCGCCATTTCCTCGGGCTGCATCTTTGTCTGGGAGGAAAGAGGCCCCAACGCCGAAGCCACTGGTGTATGTGTCTCGCTTCCATTGTCGACCTTTCGACTTATCATTTGCTACTATCCAGCTTGGAATTGAACGCTGGACAGATGGGAAAAGGTCAGTATTCGAGGCCCCATGTACGACATTCTCGCATAATAATCGTCGAGATTTCACACAGGTGGGGTCCAAGCAGAGTTCGCGACGTAAGTGGCAAAGGACACCCTTACTCGTGTATTCGTTTAAACTTAGCATTCGCTAACAGGAGTTCCTGTTCTATCACGAAAAAGACCCAGAACCGGTCGACGTTGAATTGACGTCCGACTCGGACTCTATGTTAGTTTCCGATGCGACTACCATCACCGCGTCGCTGACTTCTCTCTTACTTCATAGACATCAACGTTCGCATCCGGGCCCCAGCCGCGGACACACGCGAAGCAGCCTCGTCAAACAGACATACTCCGTCTTCGTCGAAACTCCACGAGGAAGACGGAAGTGGCATCTCAGTAAGCTGTGCATTGAATTTACGCATGTTCCGAATGACTCACCAAAGGTACTTTGCGCAGTTGCTTATTTCACACACGACACAGTTGAATACCTTCCTTCTGTGGACAATGTACCGGAGCTTGCGCGTTTATCGGTACCAACAGGGATGTACAGAAGCGCACGCCAGCACCATCCTCCCAGGCGGAGAGACAACGAATCGTACTCTATCCGAGGACCTCAGTACGCTCCATATCCATCGGTGAACCAACATTCATCAGACGACGATGCTTACAGTGGAAGTCCAGTGTTTGCGGACCGTTTTGGTCGGATGCTTACATCGAATGCTGTCCTTGCTCCTTTGGCATACCTGCAAAACATTCCACCGCCTCGTCGACACCCTCTTGACGAGGAGGCCTTGATGTCGTTTTATCCTGGGCTTGCATGAAATAATTGTCTTTTCTTATGTCATTTTATTACAACAGCGCTGTGGTCGGACCTGAGTTGACGTTTTCTTACCACCTTACATACTATAACATCAACTACTTCTATTCGCAATGTTTTCAGTGCACTTCAGCTACCATCTTTGGATAATACCGGATAATTCTATTTCTTGTTCTCTCGATGAAGTTCCGGATTTCTCGGGCGAGGCCTGTCCAGATGCCTTTGCAAAGTACCATTCTCGACCTCAGGGGGGGATGGTCAGATAAGACCAGAACGTCTGCATTTGATTGGTCCCTTGCAGCAGATATACCCTTTTGAATTGAGGCTCTATGCGCGGCTGTCGTAAGGCATGAATTGAAAGAAGCCAGATCCATCCGTTTCAGGGATAGTCAAGAGCATTGAAGATTTCATGTCGCATCACCTGCGCAGCAGCGAGACCGAGCCTTAACTTTAACAATGAAAACTGTATTCAGTTCATTTCGAGAGAGAACGTTTCTCTCTCTATACATTTCAAAAAGCGAGTCGACAGCTGGATTTTGCCGAGACTTCTCTCCCCCCCCACTGACAGTTCGCAGATTGAAAGGTGATAGCTATAAGATTTGGACAGGAAGCCGCATTATCTGACTTGGCATCGTGCTCCCCACACACTATCTTGGGCCCATCATGCCCATGGTGCAGCATGCAACGTACGGTTGCGACCTAGCATGGTACGGAAGTTCACAGGCAAAAAGTTAAAATGGTTAGAGCAAAAGGGTCTGTAATCACTACCATGACCGAGAACCGAATCCATGGATCAACGTGATTTCAAAAAAAAAAAAAAAGGACGCAAGCTCCATATTGGCAGTAAATTCATCGCTTATCAGTATATCAGTTCGCATGAATGAAGTGTGTCACGTATGCAGATACACTCCACTCACTGGGCATTTTGAGAGCACTTGTACAGGAAAGGTCTGGTGTTTTGGAGTGGTGCCTCGAAACTCCTAATCGATATCGAAAGGGAATGGCGGAATCGAGATTGTATTGGCTAATCTGCGTAGGTCTCGGCGTCAGCTGTCCTTGTCATATTCCAGAAAGAGTCTGAATAGTTGACATACCAAAGAAGGCGAAGATCGGTTTGGGATCAACAAAGTTGAGCCAGAAGGCTTGACTTTACCTATATCGACAATACTATTTCTGGGAGCAATACGAGGCCATTCACGTACAGCCTAAGCCGTCTCCAAGAGATGACGGACGCCACAGAACCTCCAGTCATGAGAAATCACAGTGGGGGTGAGACCGCCTGAGGCTTGGGCGCAAAAAATCTCTCATGCACAACGGCCTCTACCGGTGCATCACCAGTGCGTCTGTACTAACGTTCATCATTTCGTGGGTGTTCCTGTTGAGTGCTACTGGCACGATTGCAGTACTGTTTCAACCGAAACCATATCGACGTGGCAACGCTTGGCAAAAGACCTAGGAGTTATGAAGATCAATACTAGTCCACTGATTGATGAAATTGGGATATGCTATACTGTTCTGTAGTACAGTCCATTTGTCCAAATATGCATTCAAGTCGTAGTAGGATGCAATAATGCGCTAAGCAGTGCTGACAGTGCACTTGGATCCTGATCGCAGAAGTAGGCACCGATCGGCGCCGGTACCGAGACCGGAGTGCCCGCGGTATCCAGTAGCTTGACGACGTATGCAAAAAAAAGCAGAGGAGGTTTACTTCATACATACGTACATGATGGCAGCACAGTGTCGCCGCCGACGGTCAAGGGAATCAAAACGATTGCGTAGGAGTAAAATGTGGGGGGTGAGTTTGTATGCCGACGTGTGAGTGGTCGAAGGAGGGCAGTTGACACGTCTACCAGGCTACCAAGGTAGAGACTACGCGGCCGCCAGTCAGCGCAACACTTATTCTTGATGGTGAAGCAGGTGGTGTAGTTACTAATGGTATTTACGCTGGGAGATAATCGCGTCATAGATTGAGAATAGTACTGCGCTAGCAGCGATTGCGAGCGAGGTGACCAACCTCCCGACGTCCAAATTGTGTTGTGGCGATCTCTAAATACGTAGTTATGAATGATGGCGATGACCTACTAGGTGGCACGGAGCCAGGCGGTTGGAACGTGTATAAATGGATGAAATGGAGAAGAGCAAGCAACAAATTGACACTTGAGTATTACATGAGTTCGGATGACCGGGAGCGAGGGTCAGCGAAAGTGAAAGGATGTTAAAATGTTGCAAGCTCCATGGATATGATCGATCATAGGAGCAGGACAACGGTGAGAGTGGCCGTGTTGAAATCGCAAGCTTCGAATTCTCTGACACGCTTCGGGGTATGTTTCGCTGCAGGAAAATCATAATTAGTTCTCCCGCGAACGTTAAGGCTGGGTGGCAGGAGCGTCGGTGTGCCCTTGGCCACCAGGTAGTGTTCGCCGCTTTGAGTGCTGCCCAGAGCCCTGTGAGATAGGCTAGTGAGCCAAAGGAGGATATGAGGTGTTTACCGAAGGATATGTCCCTTTTTGCGATCTGAACTCTGTTTCAACTTTGTTCCTCCCAAGTCCGGTTGACCGCGGGACTTTTACGAGGTGCCGCGTATAGACAGGGTGCAATATATACATGGAAGGAATTCGACAAGTGCTACGCAAACGAATATAAGACCATCATTACCCTGTGGAGTGAGGCGCAGGAGGTGGGGGTGCTAGGCAGCCAGCGATGCGGGGCAGAGGCCGACTGGTGCTCTGAGATTGGCCATGTGGGTGGTCAGCAGGATTTGAGTTGTAAAGTGATAGAGTTTCAGTGTGCAATCGAGATTAGCAACCAGCCTTTTCTGATCATCGCGCCCAATCTCGCTTTTTGCCCAGGATTTGTTCCTTTTACGGCCGGTCTTTCGGTCAACGGCGAGGTCCCAGGCAGAAAATAGTTTAATTAATTATTATATATCCTTCCTTCAACACCCTGTAAGATCTTGGAGCTCATATATACCATGCTCCCTTCTCCTCTTCCCCCACTCCTCTGTTCTCCCCGCCCCCACCATGCAACAACGTCCAACCTGCACCAACATTCGCATCCGCTCCACCCGCGACGCCCACAAGATATTCTATGCCGTCCAGCACAACCTCCTCCCAATGGTCACAAGGCGTCTGGATGCCGACGAACGTCTCGCCCTCTGTTCTGGCTGTGTCTACGCTTGGGAGGAGAGAGGGCCTCACACAGAAATAACAGGTCTCGGAATAGAGCGCTTCACCGAGGGCCGCCGTTGGAGCCCGTCGCGTGTCAGAGACGTTCGTACTGCTCAGCTCTCTCCCGCTCTATCGTACTCATCCCTCTTTCTCTCCAGGAATTCTTATTCTATTACGAAAAATACACGCCACCTGCAGACGCCAGCCAGTCCGGGTTAGTTTGGGAATAGATTTCGAACTCTCCCAGTGTTCTTACGCCTTCCTTCTCCAGCAGTTCTCCCGATAAGCAGCCACCACGAGACTGGGACCCTCTCGTCAAGCAGACATACTCTGTGTGGGTCGAGACAGAAAAGGGTCGTCGAAAATGGCACCTCAGTATGTGTCTGCGCTATTGTCATCGCCACCGCTTGCTCAGCCGTTTACCCTATTAGCCGCGTACTTCACTCAAGCAACAGTAGACCAACTGGGCACAATAGATGATATCCCTGGCGTCGCAGACCTTATCGTCCCAGAAGGCACATTCCAGAGTACCCGTGTCAGTAAGAGCCGCAAGGGCGACGACTCACGCGCACGAAATAATGATGTTCTCAAACCAAGTACTTCCACTGTAACACGCACTTATGCCCCATTCCCATCTGCATACCCCACTTCAATCGACACTTCAAATATGCATCGTGAATCACAGCGACCAGGTCTAGGCCATACCCAACAGGAAAATTATTATAACCAATCTACCCCTCAAATACCCCATGTACTCTGTACCACCACCCCTACTTCCTTCTTCCAGTACCCCATATTCGCTTCCGCCACTTCGTGCGCAGTACGAACCTGATACGAAATCGCGTCGTCTATCTGTGCCCTCTTTTCCCCACCCAGAATACAGTTATCAAGGGTTAGAAGGTCGACGAGCTTCCATGGATCGTATGGCGCCCCGAATGGATGACCCGGTCTTCCGTTCCGTCTCTGTAGCTGGAACGAAGGGCGAGACTCAAACCGAAGCTCGCCTTTTTGCCAATTTGCGGCCTCATGGAACCCATATATCATTGTCTAGTTCATATAGTTCTCCCGATATATCCATGGGTAGCGTCGGGCCCTCTAGCCATATGTCTCCCATTGAATATTCATCTCCTCCTTCCGAAGTGACTAATACGATAACCCAGCATTCCTCTGCATACCCGTCTCGTGTCGAATCGCAATATACTAACAGGCCTCTTTACCCATCATCTTTACCGCCCCCTGCACCGTCCGTTTCAAGGTCACCTTATAACGCTTCAACGTATCTCGAACATAACCATCCCAGCTCTGCGCCATATTCTCATTCTTCGCCCAATGGAATGTCTACATCTTCACCTCCAGGAGCACAGGCCCTATCTTTGCCACCGCCTGCTAAGCTGTTTCCTTCAGAGCCGCCCTCACAACTGTACGAAGTGACATCATCACCCCCTCGTTCGACAAGCGAAGCTGCGGGTCCAGGACCATGTCGAGTAGACCTCGCGCCACTCCACTCTCTCCAAAGGAACCACCCCTATCGACGAGACCCTGTTGACGACAAAGCATTACGTCTCCTCGGCCCTCGGCCTGCTTGACTATTTACTGGTTTGCTTTGACTTGTCACGAAGTTCTTACGTCGCATCATAAAACGGCAAAACCCACGTGGTAGCCCTGAGCTTGGGCTACGAGCACGAAAAGTGCTCGCGCTCTGTTTTGGGCTTGATAAACCCCGCGGAGTTCGCGTATATGTAGGGGGATTCCTTTCAGTTTCTTTGACATTGGTGTTATACCTTGGCTCCACTTGGACGAGATAAGAGTCAAAGGAACTCTTTTACGAACTATACGTGGTGCTATTTTCCACTAATGTTGCTTATGAGCATGTATTTCGCGGACGAGTATATTTATAATATGGAAAACGGTGGACAATCCAAGTAAGGATAAATGACTAGTTATAATTTTACCGACTTATCCGTTCGAATTACCACGTAGAATTATGTGGCCCTTTTTACTTTTTCTCCCCCCTGCTGGCTGGTAAAAGGTACTGCGCACTAACTTAGGTACAGACTGGTCCATACCATGTAACTGTAGTTTCGATCGATCAGGGCCTAGTCAGGGCAGAGTCCACAATACAATAGCAATGTTATTATATACATTCCAGTAACACTTTGGGTCGCTTATCAGATAATGCGAGCTGTCGGTCATTTATCAACCCTGTATTCACAATTTGACCCGTTATTTCCCATGTTGGTATACTCCCATCCAAGTGGCATATCTCCGACGCCTGCAAACCTTCAGGCCAAAGTTTGTAGCAATCTTTACCTACAGGATTGTTATTAGCGTGCTGGATCACATCGTACGACATGACAACGAGTCTAAAGGTGGAGTAGAGTATATCTCTAGTTTCACCGAGCGCCGAGCACCACTCTTCTGGGGATACCGTGTCAGCATTATCGAAGGCCAAAAACGCAGATCTGTAAGCTCGAGACTATAGATCGCTTGTAAGTGACTATGTCACTTTTTTTTTTCTTGACTTTGCTACATTTATACACCCGATAGCCAGCCCTCAGAATTACAGTTCACCGTATCAGCGGACATTTTTCTATCCGCAAACATCTTTTCCGATGCCATGTGTCCCTGCTGCCTTGCCACTTCCATGACTAGTACAATGGATCTCGGTCGGCCGCGATGATCGAGCAACAACTTTATTATGGAATCACCCCCTCGAAGCCACATTCTAGCACAACTCAAACAAATAACCGGTCTAGATATCAATATTGTACGACAGTCAATTTTAATATCTCATTTCATTTCACAAAACCATTTAGAAGTTGTAAGTTGCGTGTTTCATTCGGACGCTTTCGTGTGGGCTCGCTAGCTTGAAATAGGATCTGTTGATCTGCTCTAATAAATTTGGATATTAGATCCAAGGCGTTGGCCGGTTTGCCTGCCTGCTGCCTCCGATTGGCTACTTTCACGAAGCCCTCAGTTTCGAGCACTGCACCGAAACAATGGAGATCTATAAGGCAACTGATAGATAGATAGTTCTAATCCGCCTCAAAGCCCTTCCACTGCTGCGGCAGTCCGCAGGCTGCGCGCCGACCACCCACTGGACAGGACGTGCTTCTGGGCCGAAAAAATCATGTATGTGTCGTTGTCACGATATTCGCCTGATAATCATTCTTGCCCCAGAATGCAAGCCCACCACTATGGAACCATATACGTGTTTTGCAATTATGATTTTTGACACACTTCTTCTGTCAAATTTCGGTATTGCCCGTTAATCCTAGGCCCATCCATTGGCGGTCGCCTCACACGATGGTTAAGTCAAACGACTGTTTTTTTCTTTTTTGAACCCAGTCTGGAGAACTTCTCTAATATATGGTCACCGTGTTATGCCGGATCAAGCAGAGCACGAGTGCCATCACCAACGAGACTTGCAGCTACGTATGATTCTTCTCGGATACCATGCTGTAAGCACTCTTCTGACGTCCTTCTTCCAAGTGATACACATAAAATCATAAAATGCCTGTTGTTCATGCTTCGGCATCACTCCCCGCTCGTTCCATGGGTCGACCCCAGGGCCTGCGGCCCCACGCAGCGATGGCTATCGGACGCGACCGTGAGAGCAACCGAAACGCACTACTAATTTTGATAGGATGAATTATTCATCTACCTCGGTGATTACTTCAATCAGCGGTCCAGACTCAAACCCACCCACTGGCATTGGTCGCAATGTCATTTCTGTGCTGTTGTCGCGTTTTCACCAAACTGTCGGCTCTGCGCTAATGCGCCACCTTATTATTATTGTTATTTTCTTTTTCTCCTGCGATCGCATTGCAGATTCAGTCGAAGCCAAGTTAGCCAAGTCAGCCAAGTTGAGTTCACAGCCTAATTCCACCTTACCTTACCTGATCACAGAGCCACAGAGCCATACGTATCGTGCCGGTGAATTAAGCAGTTGATTCTTGAGTACATGAAAAGGGGCCTTTCTCACAGTGCTTATCATGATTATAGACAGTCAGTATCAAATAAACCATCTCTGGTGGAATGCCCAATCTTTTGAACTCTTTTTCTTTTACTGATTGTTAACTGCAAGAACAAGCCAAGGACCTAGGCTGTCATATCGATAGGATAGTATCGGTGCTTTCAAAATAGCAGGACCTTTCTGGTGCTGTCCACAACAGGCCAAGTTCCCCGGATCGACGAGCGGCGCAAGGACTGGTCCATAATGGACGTCTGGAACAACTATTAACAAGTCTGACACTTTACATGCTCCGGCTGATAAAATAAACATACTTTGGGCCTTGGAGATAAGTCCATGTCAATCCGCGAACGAATCATCACGGCGGCGATTTTTTTTTTTTTTTCAGAATTGGCCCGGTTGAATCACGTCAGGGGGCAGAAGCGATGATCAACGGGAATGGAAGTAGTAGCTTGATTCTGTTAGAAGTCCGGCATGTCGTCTTAAATATTTAGCATAGAGCCAGTCGTGGGACGTGAACTTTCTTCTCTCTCTTCGTTGTGCTGAGTTCACAGTATATTTCAGACTGGGCGTCCGGTGTCGGCTCGAGATGAGGCTGTTGATATTTATGCTCATATTAGATTACCCGGGCCCGAGTGAAGCTTATGTGTCGATATTGATCGTTGGTAAGGTCAAACCTCGGATATAGCCATGGTCTCAGTCCGGCATTCTGTGGTTTTGACTTGGATGCATCGTAAATGTTATAGTATTGATATGTTGGAAAACATACATAATGATTTAGGATACAAGATAGGTAAAACACATGACGCATGCAATTGTGATGTAATGACAAGAGATAGAAGGACTGATCATGGATTGTGAATGTGTAGAGCAAAGCATTGGCGCATCATTCCATCATACAAGTTGATGGTCACATGAACAGAAATATTCTGCTACGGCAACATTGGCTATTGAGCATTAGAATTGAATTGTTTAACTGTATATGGACGTGAGCTTTGAAAACGAAACATAACTGGTATTAGTTTACCTGCACCGGTATTATGATGGCCTCCAACAACGACGGTTGGCATCTCCATTGGACATCCCCCAATTGAGACAACAGCCTGCGTATATCTCCTGACGTTGTAGGTGATTCCATCCTTTGTATAAGAACTCAAGGTAGGTGGTTTATTGGACATTATAACGTTCGATGCTGATGCCTCGGTGAATGTGCTAGTGTGTGGTGATGCTTGACTTCCTGTTGGGGACGCGTGTGGAGGTCCCACAGGTTGCTGGTAGGCAGGGTTTGCGGAAGGCGGGTTTGCATGTGGATCGTTCAAAGGTAATTTCCACCCTACACGATGGTTGTCAGTAATGCAAATGCAAGTGCGAGCTATAGTCCCACCATTCTGGTTCATGGTAGAGAACCGCTGTCCTCCCGAAGACAAGCGAGGATTTGGACTGTCGCCTGATGCAATGTTGACCCTCGGAGGGCTGTATGGAGGGAGACTCGTCGACGTGCTGCCCGCCACGGAGGGAGGCCTGCAACTCTGATTTTGCGAAGATGCGCGAGGGTTTGAGTTGTTGCCTATTACAATGGTGGCCCTCGTAGACGAGCTACCCACCACGGAAGAAGGCCTGCGACTCTGATTTTGTGAAGACAAGCCAGGGTTTGAATTGCTGCCTATTACAATGGTGGCCTTCATAGACGTGCTACCCACCACGGAGGAAGGTCTGCGACTTTGAGTTTGTGAAGACAATTGAGGATTTGAATCGTTGCCTAATACAATATTAGCCCTCGAGGGACTGTATGGAGGGAGGCTCGTAGACGTGCTACCCGCCACGGAGGAAGGCCTGCGATTCTGATTTTGTAAAGACAAGCGAGGGTTGGAATTGTTGTCTAATACAATGTCGGCCCTCGAGGGGCTGTATGGAGGGAGGCTCGTAGACGTGCTACCCGCCACGGAGGAAGGCCTGCGACTCTGATTTCGTGAAGACGTGGAAGGAACATCTTTCGTAGTGAATTGCGACGCTAGAGTAAACGAGTGGTCGATGAGCAAAACTGCATAAGCTGACGCGAGATAATATACGAACCTGAACCATGAGGAGGGCCTGGTAATTTCAGCGCTGAAAATTTTGCACCAAGGATCTATTGAAATTTGTTAGCCTCCTTGTGGTCCTTTAGAGGGGCAAACATACTTGTATGCTTTGGTACAGATCTCGACAATTCTCGAAATGACGAACGATATTTTCTGGAGCCGGACGACAACTTTCAAGAAGATGTTTCTCTGCTGAGAAACGTTGTTGGTCCTCTTTATATCTGTACGGATCGTGATGATTAAGGAATGATAAATCGAATTCGAAGACACTCACAAGTCGAAAAGTTCGAGACACTTATATCTCTCTGGTCGGGGAAAATCGATATGATCATCTTTGTATTTAACGAGCGTAGGTATGACCAGGTCTAGATAGTATTGAGCTGCATCCAGTCGACATTTGAATGTTCTAGCCTCCACATAACCCTGACCCAGAGTGGGCATTGGAAGAACACTCTTCGTGGTGGTTTGCGGCACTAGAGTAGGCGAGTAAATGGTGAGCCGAGATGCCCAGCCCAACACGAGATGATATACGAACCTGGAGAACCTGGTAACGGTTTGGCTGGAGTTGTTTCAGGAATAATCTATTAAAATCTGTGAGTCTCCTTGTATTCTTTGGAGAGCACACATACTTGTATACTTTGGTAAAGATCTCGACAATTTTCAAAATGAAGAACAATACTCTCTGGAGCCGAACGACAACTTTCGAGAAGACGTTTCTCTGATGAAAACCTTTCTTGGTCCTCTTTATATCTGCACAAGGGATCGTGATGATTGACGGATGAAAAATGCAATTCGGGAGACACTCACAGGTCGAAACGTTCTAGACACTTATGTCTCTCTGGTCGCGGAAGGCCAATACCATCTTCCTTGCGTTTGACGAGCGTAGGTATGATCAGGTTTAGATAATATTGAGCTGCATCCAATCGGCCTTTGGATGTTCTAGCCTCCATATAACTCTGACCCAGTGAGAGCATTGGAAGAACATTCTTTGTGACGGTTTGCGGTACTAGAGTAGGTAAGTGGCCGGTGAGATGAGACGCTCAACCCGACACGAGATGATATACAAACCTGAATCATCGGGAGACGCCGATAATGGTGGCGTTGGAGGTGCTTCAATAGGAATCTATTAGAATCTGTTAGTCCCCTTGTATTCTTTAAAAGAGCATACATACTTGTATGCTTTGGTAAAGATCTCGACAATTTTCAAAATGACGAACAATATTCTCTGGAGCCGAACGACAGCTTTCGAGAGGACGTTTCTCTGATGAAAACCTTTCTTGATCCTCTTTATATCTGCACAAGGGATCGTGATGATTGACGGATGAAAAATGCAATTCGAGAGACACTTACAGGTCGAAACGTTCTAGACACTTATGTCTCTCTGGTCGCGGAAGGCCAATACCATCTTCCTTGCGTTTGACGAGCGTAGGTATGATCAGGCCTAAATAGTATTGAGCTGCATCCAATCGGCCTTTGGATGTTCTAGCCTCCATATAACTCTGACCCAGTGAGGGCATTGGAAGAACATTCTTTGTGACGGTTTGTGGCACTAGAGTAGGTGAGTGGTCGGTGAGCTGAGACGCAGGAGAGTCTGATAATGGTTGTGCTGGGGGTGCTTCAGTAGGAATCTAATAAGATATGTTAGTCACCTTGTATCATTTAGAAGATCATACATACTTGTATGCTTTGGTAAAGATCTCGACAATTTTCAAAATGACGAACGATACTGTCTGGAGCCGGACGACAGCTTTCGAGGAGACGTTTCTCTAATGAAAACCGTTTTTGATCCTCTTTATATCTGCACCAGAGATAGTGATGACTGAGGGATGAAAAATCAAATTCGAGGGATACTTACAGGTCGAAACGTTCGAGACACTTATGTCTCTCCGGTCGCGGAAAATCAATCTGATCTTCTTTGTATTTAACGAGCGTAGGTATGATCAGGCCTAAATAGTATTGAGCTGCATCTAGTCGACCTTTGGATGTCCTAGCCTCCATGAAACTCTGACCCAGTGAGGGCATTGGAGTAACATTCTTCGCTATGGTTTCCTGTACTATAATAGGCGAGCCTGAGTGGACGATGAGCTGAGATGTTAGAACTGATGAGAGATGATCCACGAACCTGAACTATCACAGGAGCCTAGTGATTCCTATTATTTTCTGTTAGCGCTCTAATGGTCTGTTTGAAATAGCATGTGTACCATTATGTTTTCGTACAGACGATGACAATTCTGAAAGTGGCGACAGAAAACTTTTGCGGCTGGACGATAGGTTTGGAAGGAACGTTTCTGTTCCACAAATTCTTCTTGCTGCCTCTTGTATCTATACCGAGATTCGTCATCGTCAACAAATAATAAAAGCAAGTCGAGCCACTTACAAGTCATAACGGGCGAGAAATTTCACTCTTTCAGATCGTGGAAGACCAGCATCCTTACATTGCTTAATCGCATGTAGAGACAAGTCTATATATCCTTGAGCTGCTACCAGTTGACCTTTAGACGAATAGCCGGGTTTGAAGACGTAGTGCTTCGACTCCTCGTTTACTTTCATCTGGACCATGAGTGCGATTTTCGAAAAGACCAGCTTTAAGGTAGTGAACTGGAGGTGGTCATCTGCGACCATTTGCGATCTTATAGCTTTGGGATATTCTTGGTACTGTGTTGCCGATTAGCACATCGACAGCGTCTCCTTCGCGACTTGAATACAAGGAATCGAAGGAACAATAAGTCGTCGCACGGTTAAGTAAACAGGATGGTCACAGCTATAGCTGTGCTGTGCAGCATTGATAGGCCGTATCCAGCATATATTTGAAGTTGTGGGTCCCAATTCCCTCAGCCCTCAACGCAAACAGAATGTTCGAAGCAGCCGGGTGCAGTGACCATCCTCGTGTTGTGTAGGTGACTCGTTGATGGCATGTGTTCAAATAATGGGATATCTTTATTGCTTCTAGCCTTAGGGGGTCCTTAAATCCGGTCCTACAGTATTTGTATTGGGACTCGAATGGGCCGTGAGGTGTCAATGGTAGTAGTCAAGTAGGAGGCCGTGTTTCCCATCAATGTCAATGCCAATGGGCGCTAGTGAGCAAAGGTGAGCAAATAATTCATCGTGCGCCTACGTATACTAGTATACGAAGAAATGCCCGTCGAGTTATCCCATAAGTGAGCGCTAGTGAGCGCTCAGTAAACTTACCTGCACCGGTCATAGTATGGGATTGTAATTGCACGCGTCGCGCGTGGTCATGATCACGGACTTTTACGGTGCTTTTGGTTCGGAACCAAAGGGTCAGTTTCATTAATACTCACTCCACAAACGCTACATCATTGCTCAATCGCGCTCTCTAGGAATACATCGCCCATTTCAACGTCTTTCAAGTCTATAACATCTCAAGATTACTCAGTTTTAATCAATATTACTATCGATGTCACCGTCAATCGAGCTTTCGCCCGAGCAGCGGCACATGTATGCCTCGGAGAGGCTCATCAATTTTCGCTGGATTTCGAAAATATTAGCTACCCGCTCACCTCGTATTCTCAACGACGATGACCTGACATCTCCGGACTTGCATCTAGAGCTTGCAACCCTGGGCCAATTCTCAGAGCTCGTCTACTGCCCGTTTCCGCTCGAATTCGCCTTCAACAACCTTGCTTTACTGTTGTCACCTGGTTTTCCCTTGGAAGGATATGATGCACTCAATACATCTGATTTTGTGCGCTCGTTCCACGGCTCAGTCGCAAATCTGTCAGGGTTCATTGTTCGTCGACAAAAAACTGAACAGTTGGTGGTTGCGATCAGCGGCACGTCCTCTATATGGCAGGCGGCATATACAATACGAGCACATCAAGTTGCTCACAGTGTTGGGAGCGGCTGCAAAGTACATTCTGGATTCTGGAGCCTGTATCTAGGTATTCGGTCGCAGGTTTTCGATGCCATCAGGGAGAGCTTGGAGGGACATATCATTGGAGAACTGGTTATTACAGGTCACAGTATGGGTGGTGCAATGTCTTATCTTCTTGCTTTCGACATCCTGAATAGTGACGAAATTCAAATCACACGTGGACTGAAGCTGAAGATTGTAACCTTTGGTGCTCCCAGGTGTGGGAACGAAGCGCTCGTCCAATGCTGGCGTAGTCTAGTAGATGGATGTCGCACCGAATATGGTCGAGGTTCTGTTCAGGAATACTGTGTCAAGGGATATAATGATGGCAAGTGTGCTGTTCGATGGACATATCAATTTTTTAGACGTTGATGCGATTATTAGGAGTTCCTTCACTCCCACCACTGAAGTTGGGTTACAGACATTTCTCACAAAATCCGTTATACTATGTGCACGGACGTTTATATCATATACCCGAATCGGAATCTGAGTGTGCCCTCTTCGACTCTCATTCTGAAATAAAGGATATACCTACTCACCCAAGAGGAGGTCACAACTACTACAATGGCCGAGATATGGAAAAAGCCGCGCGCCGTATGTGGTGGTTAAAGGAGGTACACAAAGAGGAAGGATGGGAACAGCTGTACAGGAAACGGATGGAGCAAGAGCAGAAGCGGAAAATATGATTAAGTTGACCTCCCAACATCTTCTACTATCTTTACTGCCAATTATACTAATTATATATCTCATATCGCCATCCATAGTGCAACAGGATCAGATTACTTATTTAATATTCAAAGACTGCTAACGTGCAAGGATACGAAGATAAATATGTTGCTGTGCACATGTAATGAAGGTAAGATCTAAAGTATAGACGGATTCCGGACGATAGTTTCTATATGCCCTGGTGTCCCCGAAGAAACTCGTCTCTCACTCTCAGAGCATACATCATTTCAAAGCTACTGCAGTCGGTTTTCTGCGTTTTGCTTGTCGACATAGAACGATCTGCCAGGGCGCACATCTTCTTGCATATAGCCTTGTGTAGTACACGTTCATGGTTCCATGCCCCCACCCGACACTGCTTTGAGCAATGTGGGGTTTATTGGCTCCTAGCACAGGCACTGACTGGGCGACCTATACCCGTATACTCGTGAATGTTTCAGGGCATCGATGATCACGAGAAGCTCGAATATAACACTCAAAGAGACCCCCACTGGTTTTTGGCAGCGATGCTAATAGTTGATTTTCTGTGGATGATATTTTTTATCATCACCGTCCAGGTTTAGGTACTGATGTAGAATGGTAGAAATTTTGGCGAACCCAACAATTACATATTCCCAGTCCCATCAACGCCGGCGAAGTCAGGAGGAGATAAGGATCGACTAGATTTGAGCCTAAGAATACATTGAGTAAACACATTGCAAAGGACGAAAATATCATCTGCAGTGGAATGGACATATTCCAGCAGATCGTATCGGTCGGTGTATGATCCGATCATATGGTAAAAAGGAGCGTTGCGTTTCGACTCTATGATGCTGCCAGCTGTATGTGATCGGTTAGTCCATGGCGGGAGGTGCAATTTTTCAATAAGCTAGATGATACAGTGCGAAAGCTTCGGAGAGCGAATCACCGGAGGGATAACTTGCGTTTTTTTTTCTTCTTTCAGAGTTCCATGATTGAACCGATAGCTCCTATCAGTAGGGTGTTGATTCGCTTCGATCCACGATTTCAGGGTCTGGAAGCATCGACGCCTAAAGGTAAGGTAGTAGATCGCTGGCTCGTGTTGGCCACGGTAATGGCTTTCCGTCAATGGAAGCCTGTTTATTGCGTTTGATGCGGTGTGATATAGGTTGTCCTCGTCTTTCACAGGCTGCAATACCTTATGTACGACGGCCACATATATCCGACATCTCTCAGTGAACCAGGAATCCGCAGGTCCTCCTACCTCCTTCCGCCATTCCTGGCACACCTTGTGCGTAGCTTCGCACACAACTCGTCATTCTTATCACATCCGATGGTAAGGATCACGTCCTGCAGATCAGCTCAGCATTATCGAGTACGAGAAACCGACAGGAGTTCCGTGCTCGTATACAGGAAATCATGCTGGCAACACATGATGATTCTCTTCACCAATCCCGGGCCATTAAAAAAGGGACAAGACGGCCATTGATACCAGTTGTAGGGCACTGGGAATTCAAGGGATCTGACATGTTATAGGGACCATTAGTATAAATATGCCAAATTTGTGACCAATGACTTTCGCTCAATTCTGAACATACGCACACGTTATTGGTGATGAATTTTAACACGAGAAAGAGTCGTGTATGATGCAGGAGTCTGGGGTTGGTATCAGATGGACATCGTGTACAAAATGCAGTCCGCACGCTAAACAGCAACGAGTATTGATAAGTGATACATATGACCTGAGTTTGAAACGATGTATGTTTGGTCCTGTGTTGATTCAGTGGCGCCCGTCTTTTGCTTCCCCAACACTTCCATTTTGCAGTTCTCAGTTGCGCTTTAGCCCTCTGCCATCAAGGTCTGGAAAATGCAGGACGGAAGGGCACCAAGGTATTAGCATATACACATGTATAGTGATTTCGCGCTGACGAAACTACCTTCCAGAATAAAGAATAGGGCTCCAGCGGAAGTCCAAGTATGTTTTCAGCCATCTTCTGCTAAATTGAGGTCTAACTTTCTTCGTGTCATTAGATCACCGCTGAGCAGCTACTTCGAGAGGTTTGACCTGTGAGTTAAGATGAGAATGTTAGTATTGACTCGCTTTTGCTCAGGCTCAAGAGCGTCAAGAAGCTGCTTTCCGCGCTCCCAAACAACGGGTTGAAGATTTTGAGGAACTTCACGAATATCGCGGGAGGAAACGTAAAGAGTTCGAGGAACGGATCAGGCGGACCAGGGGAAGCATGTAAGTCGATTTCATTGCCCGTTATCTCTCGCTGATTGCGCTTCAGCAAAGAGTGGACTCAGTACGCCAACTGGGAGGTAAGGCGTATTGCATATATACTTCTAACTTTAGTTAACACATGTTCATAGTCGAGTCAAAATGAATTTGATCGCTCGCGGTCCATCTTCGAGCGCGCACTGGATGTCGACCCACGTAGTATACAGCTGTGGCTAAGCTACACAGAAATGGAGCTAAAGTCCCGCAATGTACAGCACGCACGCAACCTTTTTGACCGTGCAGTCACTCTACTCCCTCGGGTGGACCAACTTTGGTATAAGTATGTATACTTGGAGGAGTTGCTGCAAAATGTCCCTGGAGCACGTCAGGTGTTTGAGCGGTGGATGCAATGGGAACCGGACGACAAGGCATGGCAAGCGTACATCAAAATGGAAGAACGGTACAATGAGCTTGATCGTGCGAGCGTGATATATGAGCGGTGGATAGCAGTTCGTCCTGAGCCCCGTGTATGGGTGAAATGGGCAAAATTCGAGGAGGAGCGGGGAAAGCTCGATAAAGCTCGGGAGGTATTCCAAACGGCTCTGGAGTTCTTTGGAGACGAGGAAGAGCAAGTCGAAAAGGCTCAGGCCGTCTTTAACGCATTTGCAAAAATGGAAACGCGTCTCAAAGAATATGAGCGTGCTCGGGTTATATACAAGGTATTTCTACTATCTACTTATCATCACTCTGGACTAAAGTTTTACGGCCGATCGTAGTTTGCTTTATCTCGCCTACCTCGCTCCAAGTCGACTACGTTATATGCTGCTTACACACGGTTTGAAAAACAACATGGTACGCGTTCGATAGTAGAAGCTACGGTAATCGGGAAGCGTCGCATTCAGTATGAAGATGAGGTATCACATGACGGCAGGAATTACGATGTATGGTTTGATTATGTACGTTTAGAAGAGGGCGCTGTGCGGACGCTGAGAGAAGAAGGTGGAACTCAGGAGGAGGAGGATGCAGCGGTCGAGCGGGTGAGGGACGTTTACGAACGTGCTGTTGCACACGTCCCACCGGGTCAAGAGAAGAGGCACTGGAGACGGTATATTTTCCTTTGGCTTGACTATGCTCTATTCGAAGAGATAGATACTAAGGTCGGTGACATATCTCAGCCTTGATATATGCTACAGACGAATTTACCTGAATTTATGTAGGATCATGAACGCTCACGACAAGTTTATCGTACAGCTTTAAACCTTGTTCCACATAAACAGTTCACGTTCGCAAAGCTATGGATAATGGCAGCTAGGTTTGAGGTCAGGCGGCTAGATTTGGCCGCCGCTCGTAAAATTTTGGGTGCTGCAATTGGTATGTGTCCCAAAGAAGCTTTATTCAAGGGGTATATTCAGCTTGAGATGGATGTAAGTCATTTATTTCTTGGTATACCATGTTCCGTATTTAATGGTAAGCTATCTAGCTCAGGGAGTTTGACCGAGTGCGCACTCTGTATGAAAAATACATCGAGGCAAGTTTTCCCATTTATCTAGCGATTTTGCTAGTATACTGATGCTTTTATCATTATCAAGTTTGACCCTACAAACTCTACGGCATGGATCAAATATGCGGAACTGGAGACCGCTCTCGAGGACTTTGCTCGTGCAGAAGCTATCTTCGAGCTCGGTGTTTCGCAGCCTTCGCTCTCTATGCCTGAGATCCTATGGAAAGCATACATCGACTTCGAGGTGGACGAACAGGGTGATCGGGAGAAGACTAGGTTGTTGTATGAACGACTAGTGAGCCTAAGTGGGCACCACAAAGTCTGGATATCATATGCCGAATTTGAAGGGGCCAGTATCCCTCTTCCTCGAGCAATGAGGGATGAGGAAGGTGAAGACGAAGAGGGGGAAACACGGATGGTCGAAGGCGATGCAAACATGGCCCGCCAAGTATTTGAGAAGGGTTATAAAGATCTTAAGAGTAAAGAGCTTAAAGCTGAGGTAAGATATCACAGCATACTTAAAATCCAACGATGATTATTAACTTTCCCTTCAGCGTGTCGCCTTGTTGGAAGCATGGAAAGCATTCGAGCAACAGAATGGCAGTGACGCCGATGTGGCCAAGTTCAAGCTATGATGCCTATGTTGGGAGAAAACAGCACGTCGACACGGAAACGGGTCAAGTAGTAGAAGGTCAGCGTGATGTTCACAAAGAAAGACAGAACGACTGTTACAATAGACATAACCAGCACTTACTTACGCTTCACTCTTTATACTTTAACTTTTCATTTTCCAAGTCACATAACCAGTCATGTGACCATTTATGGAAGAATTCACAAGCACGAAAGTCGGGAGGCGCCGGCGTATTATCGGGCTTCACTGCTACGACGTCTTCAAATACAGACGAAGCCGTATCAAGTCAGAACGCTAATCAGAAACCTCGCGAGGATGTCGACGTTAAAATGCACCGTGATGACGATGGGAGTAGTGATGTGGCCAGTTCGGATGGTGAATAGCCTTGCTGAATATGCAACTCTGTACGGAACAACCGCTGCGGGAGATGGAACTATCAGGTTCTACTCAAAAGACCAATATTATAGCACAATATAAATTGACGTAGGATAACGAGTGACGCTATTTATGCATTTTGGTACCTGAAGGTCCATACATATTGAACAACCCGCGCTTCATCTTGTCTACTCCAACAACCTCTCAACCTCGAATATGAGCAATGCCATCACGCCCAAACATTAAGCGTCCTGAAGACGTCGCAAACCAAAGAGAGGGAATTTCTTTAGGAATGTGCAAAAAAATCTCGTCATCGGTACGAACTTTGTTATCGTAAAACGCGCAGAGTCGGTGAGAGCAATCACAGGAAAATAACGAACAGCAGATTTTATAATCGGAAATGCGATATCCCGGGCCACCCCAGAGATCAAATGAGAGACATAGGGGGCAATTTTGATAATATGAGGATGCGCAATTTCTTTCCCAGAATTGCTTTGAGAAACATGCCGGAAAAAGACTGTCATCGTCATCAGAGTCATGGAAGCGTTCACGGTGCAGCTGACCTGGTGGACGGACCATTGTGCAGGTGGCATCTATCTCCTTTGCGAGTAAAGCATGGTGTCCATTCACCGCAATGACATTGCAGTAGACTACGGGGCCGTCACCGAGATCAAATTTTTATACCTCCAGATGCAGATCCAAAAAACAACGGTGATTCATGGATTGTGATGAGGATCGCCTAAGACGTGTACAGATAAGTACCGGACAAGAGCTTTCCAAGACATGAAAACGTGAAACGAGGGAACCACAAACGACGCCCCAGATATGCATCATAGAGATGTCGCCATCATCCCGCGTTACAGAGAACAGCTGCACAAGCCTTTCCACGATTAAGTGACTTCGTTGTTGCACACTAATGACAGCCCTGACTGGATTTTTGAGACTGGACCCAAAAGCAAATTGTGTTTGAAGTACGATGCAGGTAAATGTGTACAATCAGGAGGAAAGGAAAGGACAGTGAACGGTCGCCGTCAAAAGCTAAGTGATTTGGTCCTAGAAATGCTATCGAGAACATGGCTTCTAAATACCAAACGGTAAGTAACCATTGTAGTTGGCACGAATTTTAGAAACGGCACAGATGTGCCGACTTCGCGCTCCAGGAAGAGAACGTGGAACACGGTATGTCCGGATCACACTAGTCTCCCCTAGGCATACCATTTAGGAGGAAGACAGTCGTTCCTCCTATCAATGGGATCACACTGAAGTTATTTCATTATCTCGTCTCACCATCATTTTAGTTGAATCGCGACTTCCTTAGATTCCGGCTAAGGATTACCGTTTGCTCGCACAACTGAGATACGATGATCATATGTAAAGTGTATTAAACAGACAACGCATGTGAACTTACCTTGCAACTGAATTTTCATATCCATAAACACCCTCCGCACTGGCACGTTCGCTACATAGCATATACGCTTGGAATGAAACGCCAAGAGGGTTCGACTGGAGGGAAAACACTTACTGTAAATTTTCTCTCATGATGGTACCAGATAAGCCTCGATAGAGCAGAGTGGGAACACTATCAACTTCCCGGTACAGATGGGTACACATATGTCGAATGAAGCGTCAAGGGACTGGAGGCGGACTCGGAAAAGATCAAAAAAATTAAATTGGCACTCTTCCTTCTAGTGCACGTTCAAGTTGCCACCACCATTGAAATTAATGTTGAAACTTTGAGGGTTAAAAAATATACCATCAACTCTGATGTCGCTTCTTTTAGTTGCAGATGGTGGATGCCAACGCGGGAACGTCGACTGTGGTACTGTTATGGCCAAGATCCTCCTATAGTAATGACAGTACTGTACTAGTGAGTAGTACTACAAGAATTAAGTAACTGTGGGAATTTTAATTTTTGGACTTGCTGATTTCCGAGTCTTTGAGCCTCTCCTTCAACTTGAACCTTCCAACCAGTTCTAAATATTTACCTATCACGACGGGCCCAGATAGATAGGTGCAATATTCAACTGGTTGAAGCACTATATCATGAACGTCCAGTACCATTGTATTTTCAAGTTTACGTGTATACATGCAAGTAAGGCCTAGTATATTCCCTGAACTTGAAGATATCATTTATCCTTTTCTTAGGAATGTTAGAATGCGCCTCGAAAAATCCATTTTAGTACGCCTCAGCACCCAGTGAGTATAAAGCACAAGCTCGGAAACTATGGTCCGTCCATTACCAAGTTTACGACCCCTGCTCTTCAAGTTCTTCGCCCTAAAGTCTATTACGACGCATGTCTATCTTGTTTGGGATGTTCACCAAATTGTCGCGCTCAGCTTGTATAGCCAATCGACTAATTGATTCAAAACAGAAATTACTTCGTGTTTTGGACATACTCTGCGCTTGCGAAGGCGGTATCCCCAAGGCGATGGCCGCAAAATTCCTTGCTATGTACTTGGCGTAAGTTTTCTTTGCTTTCAGTTGTACTTTATCTTGATCAATTCATATCAAAAGATGTGAAGTTACACAGCGAAAGCTCGTAGACTTATCGCGCAACGAGCAATCTGAGAATGTTCAAAACCAGGCTGATCGTCATGTTCAGGATTGCACGGACCTTATAAACTATATTCAGGTTAGTTCACTGGTTTTGTCATCTTATTGCTCCGCCTCATGGTCTAGAGAAGCAAGGTCTGAGAGACATTATTGAATACGATTGTACCTCACCGAGGTCAACCAGCCCTCCTGGTACACAGACCGAAGAAAGTAACGTTCATGGGGGATATGGTCCCATTCAAGGTAATTTTCGGTCATCTAAGAGTAATGGTCCTTGATACCAGAAAACGACCATGGATAATTAAGGCCCTTCGCGATCGGCCAGCTGTCACTGCCGTCGAAGAAATTCATCCATGGATTCCGATCCCCCGCCTTATTCACATACACAACAATCACAACTTACATCGATGAGCGAGCCATCAATGTGGGGTCTTGAAGCCGAATCTCCTTTCATGGCACGCTTTTTTCCCGGTGGTGAAAACGCCAATGTTAATAGCCCAATAATCAACATCGGAGGCCATGGAAATCGGGGTGCAGGTACTAAGGTCTTGCCAAATAGCTCAAACGGTCGTAGCTAATCTGTCACTACGGAAATCTTAGCATTTACTCCTGGGGGGTGTGGTCACAATAGCTGTTATACACCTTGTGCAGCTTGGAATACTCGGAAGGCATAAGTCGTGACTAACTTGTCGGTCTGATGGCGTAGTTGGTTATCGCATCTGTCTAACACACAGAAGGTCTCCTGTTCGAGCCAGGGTCAGATCATAGATTGGTAACTTTTTTGGAGTTCTTTTTTACTCCAAGGAGCTCAAAATATCTCATCGAGTATGAACATGTTTCCGCTCAGCCCCTGTGGACAGTAACAGCTTGGGATACTATTGACGAATCAATACCAGTAGATATAAAGTCCTTCAGACATTTATTCCCATGTTTTTGCTCCAATCACAATCTTCTGTCAGTCACGAACTGGTCACAGCCGTAACACTGACATTCTTGACAAGATCACGTGTACCGCGCCCTTCTCTCTCAGCCTGAGCTAAATCGATTAGCATTTCGTTACTGATTGTACTGGTCTTCAGTTTCGTGTATTCTTCAGAACCATGCATGCCATTCAGGTAACTTCTTGACCAACAATCATATTACGTTGTGCTGATATTTCATCTCTGAAGCAACAATATTGGGCGGTCCGTGACTATCTGAGTCCCGTATGGATTACTCCCCTTCGCCCTCGCAAATAGTCAGCTAAACGACTGTCGTGATCTGGCAGGTTCTTAAAGAAAGCAAATTCAAGGAACACGGACGAATCACGCCAGGTCTGTATTCACCAAAGGTTATCAATACGGGCGGAATTGACAGAACTATCGTGCTTTAGAGGAGTTTGTGGCTGCAGGCGACTTCCTGGCGTACAAATTCCCAGTGTGGACTTGGTACGTTTCTCTGAGACGATGGTTGTAAGCTCATGCGAATAAATGACAATGTAGGGAGAAAGGCGACATCTCTAAAGCTCGCGATTATCTGCCCACGGACAAGCAGTATCTTGTTACCCGTGGCGTTCCCTGCCTTCGTCGAGCCACTTCTCTCGCCTACACCGATGCAGACGAAGATGCTGAACGGCTGCTCTCCTTTGGAGACACCTCCGCTACGGGAAATGAGGCAGACGAGTGGGTCGAAACTCATGCAGGACGCAAACCTACATTGGATTCCGCAGCCAATCCAGGGGAGATAGACGACATCCCAGACTTGGATGGAGATCACGAGAGTGACGTCGCTAGTGCTATCGGTAACTTGTCGATTAGTGCCTCTACCACTGGCGCCACAGTAGGAGATACGCCTGATTTAGATGACATACCCGATATGGAGGAAGAAGATTTGGAGGAAGAGGACGAAGCGATAGCTGCGCCCAAGGCCAAAGGTATACCGTCCTCGGGCGTCCTCGATGTAAGGTAGGTCTCCTGGTGACCCATCCTTCATGGTATCGATTCTATCACTCCCTTTTAGCCAGGTAGAAGTTGCTAAGGGCAACCTTTTGCAAGTACGAACATACGACGTCATGATCACATACGACAAGTACTACCAGACGCCGCGAATCTGGCTCATCGGCTACGATGAGGTGCGTGCAACCAAGGCTAGAAGCTCCATTGTATCGCGCTAACTGCTGATCATAGAATGGAACTCCTCTGACGCCGCCTCAGATCTTCCAAGATGTGTCCGCAGACCATGCACTGAAGACGGTCACAATCGAGGCATTCCCTCATTCAGCAACTCTGCAAGCTGCTTCAGTCCACCCCTGCAAACACGCTAGTGTGATGAAGAAGGTTATAGAACGAATGAACGCAGGCGTAGTTGAGGAACAGCTGGCGCAGCGCAAATATGCAGGTGGGGCTAGTCCTAAGGATACTAAGGAGAACAAGAAGAAATGGGGTTTCGGCAGGAAATCAGGCGGGAAGGATGATAAGCCTGTAGAAGATGAGGAAGCGGACGGCATGCGTGTGGATTTCTACTTGGTGGTTTTCCTCAAGTTCATTGCATCCATCGTGCCCACTATTGAGGTTGACTCGACGACTGCATTCTAATACTGGCAGAAGATATCTTGTCATAGTCATTTTGATACCCTTAGGTCCTATGTGTGTTCGTTTTTGTGTCATCGCTTGTAATGTTTGCCTCCCAGATCAATGTACTGTTGTAGAATATAGAAAAGGTGTATCCCTTTTTTCTCACTAGACACGAAGACCGCGGAGCATAGCAGTATCATTGATTTCTCGACATCGCAGCAATAGATGGTACACCTATGAGTATGACATCTATAAGAGTAAAATAAATCACAGCCAGAGATATGAAAGCTAGACATGCGTCAAATCCCAGGGAAACCACCATACCACACCAGCATACTAAACTCAGCTTTCCAAATCTTTCGATTTCTTAGCTTTCTTGTCCTTCTTCTGCTTTTTGTCCTTCCCATCGGATGCGTCTGTTTTTGTTGTGGGCAAGTCAACGTCCATGGACGTGATATCCTCCTTTTGCGAGTCGCTATGTTTCTTCTTCTTCTTCTTCTCTTTCACGTCTTTCACTTGATCAACCAAGTTCTCACTATGTTCCAAACCATCTTCTCTCTTCCGCTTCTTAGATTTCTCCGTCTTTCCATCACCCTCACCTGCACCTTCGACTCGTGTATCCTTTTTGCTCTTTTCCCCCTTCGTGCTAGGATCGGCAGCGTTCTCCTGTTTATCACCCTTTTCTTTTCTACTCTTCTTCTCTTTTACACCCTCAGCAGCAGTCGAGCCACTAGGGTTGCAGTTCATCCTCTGCTATAGCCTCCAATTTCCGGTTTCTCTTCTCTGACTTATCCTTTTCTTCGTACTCTCCGTAGCGTCCTCAGTGGATGCGCTCGGTTCGTCATCGACTTTGTCGTCAGATTCCGGAGACTTCTCTGCCTTCTTTTTGTCTTTCTTAGCTTTCTTCACCTTCTTTCTTTCGTTTTATCAGGACCTTCTACCGAGACCTTTTCTGGAGATGAGGGCAATGGTATTGAATTGGGTTCTACTGGTTTCCCGTCGCCTTTGGGATTTTTGTCTAGATGTTCGTTTCCCTATAGCAAATATGTTTTAGCGAATATGTCACGAGTGTGTACACATTGTCGACTTACGTTTAACTTGGAAAGACCCTCTTTTTGGTTATCTTTACCAGCAGTTGACTGCGATTTCTGGTTTCCTGCTTTTTTGCTGTCGTCCGTACCTGCATCTTGGGTACTTCCAATAGGTGGTGCGATAACAGTAGACATCCGAGCGGGAGCACCAAGTGGAGCACTATTGGGACCACTACTCGTAACTCGGTTTCCTCGACCACGTTGATACATACCGACATTAGGGTCCCTTGGATTCCCTCGATTCTAAACGTACAGCCAAGATCAAAGATATATTAAAAAAATAGAGGAGAAAAGAGCGAATAAATACAGGTTTGGCGCCTTTCCACAGGCCTTTTTGGTACTTCTCTGCTTCGCTGATACATTGCGTGTGGCCCTTGTATTCCATGGGCGAGTTGAATGTCGTGTGACAATCAATGCAATCGAAGCCTGAATGACAGTAATTCCGATGCTGGTCTAGTTTTGGTTTTTTCACGACATCGCCGCAAGCTGTAGTTGAAGTACAATGAGACAATATGGTTGTATAGGACAACGAAATACCTGACCATGACATCTGGGTGATGCCTGTCAGTTCTCAGTGATCTACATTGACATAAATCATAACACATTGAACACGCACTGAAACGAGACCATTATAACTGCTAAGTTGGGTATTGTCTCTTATGTCGTCGAGTAACGGGAACTTGATTTTGTGGAATAAAAGAGAGATGGCCGCACGGACTTGCGTGTTCCAAACACCCTTCAGCAAGTAGCGATCGAAATTATGAAAAGAAAATAGTGGGCACGTGATCTGGGATAATTTCGATCTAATTATTTACGGTGTTGCAGTCCCAACGACTGAGCGATGCTGGTCCCGCGTCTTTCCCTGGTATCCTCTCGTCCATGCATACACCGAATAGTGCGAAGATATTGTTATAATGCACCTAAGTCTGAGGAGATCTTGTACTTGGACAGATATATCGATGGTCGCATATCGTGATTAGGTCAGCTACCGACCAGCCAGAGACTGCCTATACTTGTCGTGATGGAAGCTTTGTGGGGGTGAAGCACCGTTCCCACACACTTTTCATCTTTGTACGTCGTACGGTCTCTGCTGCAACTTATGGCCTGGGGCATCTTCTACCGACACCCACAACAATCCAGCTGGGATCATGCACCAAGCACGGTACACGACGACCGCTCCTTAGGTTTCATCAAACAGTATGGTCACGATGCCACTTTGCCCAGTGGCTCCCCTGACAGTTCCAAATCTGCATATCCGAGTGCCAGTCAGCAGTATCCTCCAGGTCTTTCTTATGCTTCACATTCTCCCCCTTTTGCTGGTCAAACTGCACAGTCTCCGTCCTCGATGATGTCCCCAGCGTCTACACCTGCCTTCAGAAGACCCTTGTCTGATTCTTTTCGCGATGATCCAGCCTTCTCAGCTGATCCTACACTGCATCCATTTTTCCCTTTGACAGCTGCTGCGTCTTACAGACAGGTTCCTTCGAAGTCTCCGATGCAGGTCCCTGTTGCTCTCAGTCCACCGGTTAATCCCCCCACTCCATCACCACCTCCATCACCCAATAGGGCTACTATTGGAGATGAATCGGCTTCCATTCATGAAGATCAGCTAGAGCGAGCTTATCCTAGCTCTTCTGAGTATACGGAATCTCACACAACTTTGTCTTTATCTGCATTCACACATGATACATTTTCGTCGTCTTCCGCGCTTACTTCTCCACAATCGGAAAAGCCTTCTCTACCCTCTTTCTTTTCCCCACCTCCAGCCTACGAGGCTGAGATTTCTCTACCACTGAATGATCCTCCACCTATGGATCGCCCAGCCGTCGTCCGCAATGTCTCAGCCCCTGCGGTACGACAGGAAATGAGAGAGGATCCACCTCCCAGATCTGCAACCGCTCCAATCCACGCAGACGGTAGCAATCGAGCCGGCATAGGACGTCGGGGCCATCCCGTGCAACATCACCCAAACTGGCGCGCACTTGATCGCATTGATGAATTAGACGAATCAGACCCATTTGGAGGGTGGCATCACCGTGGTCCTTATGAAGCCATAGGTAGTAACTTGGCTGAGCTTGGACCTCCTCATAAATATGATGACACTGGAATATTGGGAGGTGATCTGCAGAAGGTTCGAAGCGAGGTGGGTCTTATGAATACTTTCTCAAGATATTTTGTGCTCAGTTATATTTACGCAAGACGTCCCGTGGTCCCTCAAAGCAAAGACGAATAAAAGTATGTGCAATGAACTGGTTTCTTAGCACTAGATTTTCATATGGATGTAGCCTCCACGAGTGGATCCACCTAAACCTGGAGTATTCCATGGTTTGTCGCTGAATCTCCGTCCTGGACAAATACTTCCTCGCAGGGTTACATACGACACTCGACCGGGCGTTTCTTTTTCTGCTGAACCTTTTAGTGACGATCAAATACTTCACGCAGGTGCTCAACCTACAAACGGTTCGCCATCGCGCCCCGAACACTCAAGAAGTCGATCTGTACCAGTTGTAAAAAATCGCGCCATGCATGCCCCTACTTCGAATCCGCGAGTTCCCCGCTATGACCAGGTTACCAGGGGGACCGATCCACCTCACCTTCACCAGGTGGCGGATTATTCTCATCCCGGAAATAGCGCGCCTACGAATAGACACCATGCCCCAGCGGACGACCGTCAATCCCCTACCAACTATGTTGGTCATCAAGAATGGGACCAGAATCGTAAGTCGTCTAGGCCTGTGGTTATGACCCCTCAGTCGACGAGTTCGGCAGAGGAGCTGATGTACGTTACAGACCGGCCATTACCTCCCCCTCCTCCTAAAGCCAGTCACCACTCGCCTCCCATTCAAAGTAACTCCACAGCTCAGGGTAACACATTCGGTGGTTCAAACACGGCCTACAATTCTAAGACTAGCCTCCCTCCTAGCCTGCGGTCAGGACCGCCCAAAGTTCGTCACCTTCCCAAACATCTTGTTATGCCTACCCCACTTCAACCGCCGCCGCCACCTCTACCCCAGGCCGATTACCAGCACGCTCAACGGCCACCATTTCATCACCAGCAACGGTACCAGCAGCACGAACATGCGTATTCTCACGGCCCTCCTCACAATCCTTCTACATACCCAGACCAATTCCCACCCCCTACTCAGGAAATACCACAGATGGTCCCAGAGAGCCGGAGACTACGAAAGAGAAGTGGTATTTATCCGCCAAACACTCCTCTGCCTTTCGTTGTCCCTCTCTCTTCTACAAACTCTATTCCTCTCATCGCAGGATCTGGTTCAAAGAAGGCGAAAGAGACTGAGAAAGCTAACTTGTTCAAGGAAGGATCTCATCGGCGAAAGTTGAGTAAGCGGAGGAATGATATTTGAGCTAACTAGTTGCATTTTCAAGTTGTTGGGTAATCTGTGACGGACATGTTTTTGTGTTGTATTTCGCTCCGCTGCTTTTTATCTCATATTTCTCTTTATCATGCTCAAGGACACTTGTGTGTATTTTTTTTGCAATAGATGTTTTCTATATCGTAGTTATGTCTGCCATATCAAGCCCATTGTGAGGATAGAAATATATTGATCAACACACTGCGAACTTGCTGTGCATACCTGCTTGGCCCCTGCGTGAGAATGTTCAACGTTCAGCGCCTGCTGCACGCCACTGCCTCATTCCTACTCCTTCCCACCCCCTACTTTGCTAAACCAACCTTACCAACTGAATCGCACTATACTCGATGGATTTGAACAAAACCTCGATGCCCGATACTACGCATACACAAGATATTGACTCTGGCTCTGGCGCTAGGCCTGGGTTCTTTCATGGGGCTCAAAATACAGGCGCTAGGGGAGGCAACTTTGTCGACGTCGGTAGCCACTTTAGTGGAACCATGACTATCACAAATAGCTATCAGGTCGCTACCACCCCTAGCCAACGAAATGATGATCCGAGGAGCTTGCCCCGGTTCATCGATCCCCACATCGATCTCTTATCTCCTCACTTTACTGGGCATGTAAAAGACCTGGAGCAACTGCAAAAGTTGTTTGATACAAGCCAGGGTGACCGACCTACCCAATGCGCGATCTACGGAATGCCTGGTCTTGGAAAGACTCAGCTGGCCTTGCAGTACGCCAAAACGGAATATGACAATAAACGATTCTCGCACGTGTTTTGGATTTCTAGTACTACCGTAGAGAAGCTTCAAGAAGGCTTTGCTAGGGTCTTATATTTCACTGGGAAATCGGATTTGCATCAGGATCAAGAGGCAAAGCTGATGTTCGTCCGTGACTGGTTTGAGAAATCCGGTCCTCTATCTTGGCTCATCGTGTTCGACAATGTCTCGAGAGACACAGTTAAATTTCTCTGAACATATCTGCCTCACTCAAATGCACAGGGAAGGATTTTATACACCACCCGAACTCAGCATGTCGCAGACCTGGTGGTTCTTGCTGCAGGACAGCCGGATAATGTAGTCCATCTCGACGTGCTGGATGCGAAGGAGTAGAGTAGATGGTGAACTGCGTCGGACGACTGCCGCTGGCCATAGTGCAGGCTGGGTCTTTCAAGAGACAGTCGACGTACAGCGTAGAGGACAGGTTGGTTCTATATAAAGATTCCACCCAAAAATCACAGGCAAGTATTATTCTATACAGGGATGTTATTATGAGCGCTGATTATATGTGTGCATGTGAAGATGATACAGTGGGACAATGATCTCGACGATTACGAGGCAAAGTCTGTTGCTGCTGTGCTTGGCAGTCTTCTGGAGCACGCATTTCAAGATACTGACACTAGGAATTTTCTTAAATTGCTTTCGTTCTTTGACCCAGAAAGCATTGCTTTAAATGTCATCATCGAGACTGCGAAGAACATTACTGAAACCAAGCATCAGATATCTGCAGAGGTAATGGATGCACATCCCCAGCCTAAGGGTGGAATTGTGCGAACTATCATGCACAAGCTGCATATAAAAACGGCAAAAGCAACAATACCTTCGAAGAGACAGAGATGGTCTTGATCAAGAGCACTCTGATAGAACATCTCTCTGCTATGATATGTTCTATTGGTCTGTCTCGAGTCATTCGACAGCTACAAGAACTGTCATTGGTTTACTGTACTGGCAGTGTGGATGCCACTGTGTTACACATGCATGATTTAACCAGCTTTCTTGTTCGAGAGATGACAAGAGTGGATGGTTTCTGGGAGGACTTCTTCGACTGCACTGTCGATTTCATAGGGGTTGCTATAGACAATATCTCTGATACTGGTTCCCCCAAATGTTGGCCACAGTGTGCCCTAATTGCTTCACACGTACAATCATTGGCAAACATAGAAAATATACAGGGAGCAAACCAGAAGCTTCTTGGTGGGAGATTTTTCATGGCAGAATACATGCACATCCAAGGAAGATATAAAGACACAGAGACAGTGTACATTGAAATTCTGAAAATCAAGCAGGAGCAGCTTGGTTTTGAGCATCCAAACACACTGCTGACAGTGAACAACCTGGCAGCAGTGTATGATTCACAGGGAAAGTACATAGAGGCTGAGGCATTGTATGGGAGAGCTTTGGCAGGCCAGGAGAAACAGCTTGGTGCTGAGCACACTGGTGACAGTGAACAACCTGGAATTAGTGTATTCATCACAGGGAAAGTACACAGAAGCTGAGGCATTGTATAGGAGAGCTTTGGCAGGCCGGGAGAAACAGCTTGGTGTTATGATAACACATTTTTGGACCTTTCCTTTTATTTTCATTCTCCGCTTTAACCTTTTACTGTAGTTTTCTCACACTGTGCCATGCGGCACTTTCCTTTTGTTCAAACTCCTCTTTCTCGTGCTGCACTGCTTTTCTTCTTATTTTAGCTACAAGTCTCTCACACAGCAGAGCTGGTCACACGGGCTGCGTCCTCTGACATCATCAGCCACTGCCTTATCAACTGTATAGTACAACATGTACAAACAACCTGTAGTAGTATAAATACCTCAATAGATCCAGGAGACTCCTCAGCGAGTCCTCCTGTTGTTTACCCACAACTAACTTGGTCCTATCCTAAGGGTAACCACTCCCCTCACTACCTTTATAGTTAGTTCTAGTTGTGCGCCAGAGTATACAAACTCTAGGTTGTTACACTTGGTGCTGAGCACCCACACACACTGAGAATTGTGAACAACCTGGCAGCAGTGTATTCATCACAGGGAAAGTATACAGAAGCTGAGGCATTGTATGGGAGAGCTTTGGCAGGCCAGGAGAAATAGTGTAAGATATTTAATTAAATTGAGTAAGTACTTACTGATAAGACAAGTTGGCACTATACAGTTGCCAGTAGATAATGTCCAAGTTTGTGATTAGATAAGACCATTAAATCATAAACTCTTTACATACCATTGAATATAACCAAGCACCACAGGAATAGAACAGTAACAAGCAGACTAGCTTGCTTCTAATATGTAACTAAAAGGTTGACTCTCAGTTTTCATTTAGCCAAGCTGTGATTTTTTAGTGTTTAAACAACTATATTTATAACAGCTTTACTATATAATTGTTGATTATTTGTGTAAAAGATGTACTAGTTTAATGGTAGTTTAATGCTATTATTTTGAGCTTTAGCTTTAAGTTAGTGACATTTGTTAGAGCTTGTTTGGAGACGAGCAAACGAGCAAAACATGCGCGCAGGTAGGAGGCTGCCGATGCTGCGGGCGTCGGAGTCTGAAGGCCTACTGCCTGCTGTATGGTCAATCAACATCGATTGCCAACATCCATAGAATCAAGCTCATCCCAACAGCGTTCTCGTTGTTTGCAGTACAGGGAGTCCACTTTAAACATGGTCTCCTTGGTATCCCGCTATCTTCTTCTCGTCGTGGCATCTGTCTCATTTGAAAAGACTGTATGGAATGATCAAGAAACGAAAGAACTGCTCTGGTTCCTCAAATCTGTCAAGGCTCAAGCTGGCAATGGCAGCAACTTCAAGGAATCAGTATTTACCCCCATCCTTCCAACATTAGGACCTCTTAAATCTGCAGGCCCTATCAAGACGGCCAAAATGTGTAAGACAGAATGGACTGGGGTAAGTCCTTCATTTCAAAAAAAAATGTTTTACTCTACTGATAACTAACAACTGTGCCCTCTCGTTCTGCTTAGAGCAACCTACTCGGCAATAGAAACCTACCGACAGCAGTCAGGCTTGTCCTGGGACCCCATTCTTGGTGCAAATATATGCAACAAAAGCACTGAGAAAATGTGAAGCCAGTATGTGTCCCAAAAGGTGCGTTTTCTTCTTTTTCTTACAGTTAAAAGAATACTAACTATGTCTTATCAGTTGCAGGCTCACACATTGATGTGCCTGTTCAAAAAAACGGGCTGGATTTTTTTACAGGATATGGAGGGCATCATGCCATTTACTGCGAAAGGATCACACATTTTTTGACCAATGTCATGCACCAAAGTTGATTGGTAGCATGGACAGGTGTCAATAACGAAGTGAATATTCAAAAAGACTCGCCTTTGCGCCACACAGGCACAGTGCCACATGGAATAGTAATTAATATTGCCTTTTTTGAACTTGTGGCTGATCAGCACCACCTCTATTAGGCAATCCAGTCACGCTCACCTTTGCTTTTCCATTCGGTACTTTCCGCGTTTCGGCATTTCGGCAAATTTTCGCGTCGCCACTGGCTACACATTGCATTGCGCCCTCGCTTTTGTCATTTCCTTCACTTCCCTTCCTTTGCCTAGCCCCACCATGGGTCCCTTACTCTCGTTTTTATTCTCACCCGACGGTCGTTTCTGGATCCCCATTTTAGTTCACCTCCTCGTCACCTCCAGCCTCCTCCTCCTCATCTTCTTTGCTCCCCCACCATTTCTGATGTCACCACTTCCTATCCGCTTCCGTCGCCAATCCGTCGACTACCACGTGCCACTGCTGATATCAGCAAAGCCCCGGCGGCTGGTTCAAATAGGACAACAGGTCCATCTTTATAACGTCGATCTACCATCATATACTATCAAAATATCAGTCGCTTGTCTTGCCTGGTTGGAGCGTGGGTGGGTAGTTTTTGAGCTGGAGAAGGTTCATCCCCTTGCGTCGCCCATGTTCATTGCTGTCCCATTCACTTGGGTACACTTATCTTTTGTCCATCGTCTTCGCTACAGCTACACCTACCACACGCTGCCTGGGACTCACTTGTTCCAAATTGGGACTACTCCTCTCCCTCCCTCGTTTGACCAGGTGGTCCAACACAACCAGTCCATTGGTAAGGCCATGGAACTGTCGGATTTGGACTAGGTGGTGGACCGGTGGCTCCAGTTTCTTTTTTTTCAGCAGAACATTCATTTACAGTGCGATTATTTTTGATTTTTGAATCATTTTTATGGACACATATTTTTTAGAATGCCTGACTGACAATAAAGGAACTGTGTTGATACTGATAGTGTTTTGCCCAGCCCTTTTTTTACTGTATCTTCCCATGACATCATGATTTTCCTGCTCTCTTTTTGCTATTGGACTTTACTTTATGGCTGTACAAACCTGTGACATTACTCACAGCATTCATTGTTCTATCCCTTTCTTTTCCTTTTTTTGACAATCTTATCCTGTACTACCTACGCAGGATTTGTCAGTGTACATTCCTTCCTTCATATTCTTTCTCATTCTTTTTGCACAGCTATACTGTGCATAGCCTACTTTTCTTTTACTATATAAACCCCTGTATTCTACCTTGTAAAAACAACAAGAACTCGAATCCAGACTTCTTCTCTAATCTCAAGTTCACTACTCTTCTACTTGTGATCCAGTGTGGTCACAACACTTCCCACTGCTACCACTGTTATCTGCTGTCATCGTCACTCTCCACTTTTGAAAGTCATTTTCATCCCTTTCGATTAGAGTCCTTCTGAGCACTACAGTTTGTGCGTCAGGAGCCTGCTATCACTGGGAACCTTGTCACATTGTCATTCTCAAACCTACCTTGTGCTACAATTAGCAAGGTAGTGTTCGTCTATACTCGCCACAAAGCCCCTATCTTTCTGCATTCCAACTATCCCTCCTCCTCAAAACCACACACCCATACATCTTTGGGTTTTACTTTGAAGGATTGTTATACGTACCACCCCACGAACAACCAGACCACTCCACTGTTCTAGGAGGCAAAGCCCATAAACAAGTTCCGTGGAATCTGGGAGGATTGTGTGTTTGTTTGTTTTTGTGTGTGTTTTTTTCTAACAACAGTTCTCATCATCGACAACGGCGAGCAACACTTGACCGGAGGAATAATGTGCATGTGGTGTACCCATAGCAGATGCTATGGGTTTCACTGTATCCCACGGGGAGAAGGTTGAAATGATGTTTCGGACCAGACTAGCTGGGACCACTCGTTAGTCTGGTCCGAAGTAAGGACCTTTGGCAGGAACCCCCACTTCAGTAGTAATAGAGAAGGCACCATGAGCAGCACATTTGGCTTGAACTCAGCATTTTGTGGCTAGTCACACCAGGAAAAAGCACATAAAGGTTTCAGCTGAAACAGCTACTGTAGAGAACAAATGCTATGTACATGATCTGTACTATTGTATCACAACTATGACAATTTATGTAGCACCTTGGACCTATATGACTCTGAATATCCCATTTCTTTTTGCCCGTGTTTTGGTTCAGATCCTTCAAAGTAAAACCAAAGATGTATGGGTGTGTGGTTTTGAGGAGGAGGGATAGTTGGAATGCAGAAGATAGGGGCTTTGTGGCGAGTATAGACGAACACTACCTTGCTAATTGTAGCACAGGTAGGTTTGAGATGA